GAATACAAAGATGAATCAAATACACTTGGGGGAAAAAAAAAAAAAAAAAAAAAACAGACAACGCCCTTGTAATTTACAATACAAGGAGACAATATAACTATAAAAGATGCAACTTAAAAAAAAGGTATTTTTTAACAACATTAACATATATCCATATAATTTAGAGAAACGAGAAATCAGAATGAAGTATATATAAAAACAGAATTTTTAAGCCCATTTTATAACATACTGGCTATTTTTTTACACACACAGTCAACTTCCGGTTTACTGAGGGCTATTATCCAACGTACCGTTTAAAAAAAAAAAAAAAGGACTCTAGTGAAAACACAACAATCATCAGTGCACACACTAATGAGAGAGTTAGAAAGAGAGCAGAATTGATATGAAACTTAAGTTAATTAGTTAGGGCTTATGACTTATCTGGCCCTTCCAACTTTTTCCTTTCCAACAAGTTTTTAACAACCTGACTGCAGTTACAAATCCTTTCCTGTCTCCTATCCCCAGACCCGCACCAAACCTAATTGGCGCCGTCATGCAAATGTCTAGCGAGTGCCTTTATGTAGTGATGCTTTTTGCTTATGGTTAACATTTAAAATGAAGTATTATTAACATATTATGAAAAATTTTAAAAAATTACATTTCATCTTTTAATTTGTCTAAATATGCAAACATTTTACACTTTGTTAAAACCCACACTCAAACATATTTATTGAAGCATTATACATATATATATGTTATAAAAAGCTGCTCAACCGGTACAGTGGTTAGCACTGCTGACTGTGGTGCTGAAGGGCCGGGTTCGAATCTCGGAGAAGGCATGGATGTTTGTAAATGTATAGTGTCCGTGCGATATGGAGCACTGTAAATATGTGAGGCAAAAGTCCTCTCGAAAGGTTTGTGGTAAGGCAAGAGGGGTGGGAGATGCTCGTGCCCGTCCCCCCCATGATGCTCTCCATCACAATTGGGGGCGAAACTGTGCTAAATTGTACTGTCACCTGTAAGGCGCTCAAGGCCAACGACAGGCGTATCTTGCACTCCTTGCCATAAAGAATTTAGTGGGCATGGACTGACTATAGATTAGACAAGCGAGCATTAGTCAACAACAACAACACGTTATAAAAACGTAACACTGCAAGCGAAGCGAAATAATATACTAAATGCATTCGATACCAAATATATTGCTGAACACTATTTATTACCTTAAAATAAAAATAAAAATTTTTAGATGTAAGTTTGCACTGAATAAACTGTTTTTCACAGCGTTGTTTACGACAAGGTTCAAACTGCGATTACAAAAGGTCCCAAAAAATGCTCTAGGGTTGATATCTAGGGATATATCCAAAATACTCTTTTGCACGCCGCTATGTTGTTGACAACAGTACAGCTTAGAGTTTCAACCAGAGATGCTACATTTCCTCCAAAAGTTTGCAAAAACTGCAGTTCCCACATAAGATCTATATATTATTTATATCGCTTTGATTTTTATCAGTTAATGCTTTTTGCTGTTTTGACATAAGTTGAGCTGATCTTGTAAATCTATGTGAACAAAAATATGTGATACAGATGCGTATGTAAGGGTACAGGCTGGTGCCATAGACGCAATCGGAAAATTTCTTAGTCCTTATTTTGCGTCTACTGTTGCAATGGTAGTAATTTGTGCAACATTTATCTTTTTTGTAATTTTTTTTAGTGACTGCTTACTGTTATTGAAATTCTACATAAAAAAAGGTAAGCTCAGTTACATATTATGTTAAACTTACGCCAGCTTTTTAATTCAGAAAAGCACACAATTTGAGCATAATTGCTTGAAAAATGATTTTTTTACATGAACCGTAATCAGGATCGTTTGCAAAATATCAGAAAAAATAAACAGAAGCACATGTTGCTCTTTCCATTAATCAGAAGCTTTAAATGATAAGTAAACTAGAATATGGATCAAGTGTGAAATCAGTGTCCTTGCAGTATGGAGCTGGCGAGCAGACCTGTGCATGATTTATTAAAGAAAAAGGATCATCTTATCTGGTTCGCATGTGTGTCTGATTCTGCTGTAGGAATGAAGGAAAGGAAAACAATCAAAAAGTCTTAGAAGTCAACCTATGAAGTCATGCTGGAGTGGTTTAATCAACGGAAAGCACACGGAAACCCAATAAATGGACTGATTTGGCTTACACATTTCAAGAAGTGCCATGGTATTTGAGAGCTGGAAGTGCACAGTGAACTTCTGAGTGGTGATTAGAATGAAGTAAAAGACTTACAGTAATTTTAAAAACTTGACTGAGACTGAAAATTTACTGGATGAACAAATACACAATGTTGATGAATCAGGTTTATTTTGGAAATGCTTGTCAACAAAAACTCTTGTGTCTGAAAAAGCAATGAATGTCCCCATCAAAAGATCACTAAATCTCAAAAGATAATAATGATGGGTTCTAACATGGCAGGAAACCACAAATCGAAACTGGTTGTCAGCGGAAAGGCAACAAACTTATATCTTTTAAACACATAGAATGAACTAACTTACTAGTGCACTATTTCAATCAGAAAAGGAATGTATGAATACAATCATTTTTCAGCAGTGGTTTGAAAATAAATTTGTACCTCAGGTACTTTTTAAAATCACAGACCTTTCCTGAAACAAGTGTTAGTTTTAGACAATGTGCCATGAAATTCTCAATGCTAATTCTTCTGGACTTGGAAGAAGATAAAAAAGTTTTTAAGGTTTTGATACAGACACAGAGGCATCACCAGCTTATTTTACTCAGATTGCAAACAGTGAAACTGGTGTTGAAAATGTAAACAAAGAATACATTTCTGAATGGCTAGAGTGTGACTGAAAATCGCCCTCATTTAAAACTGACATAGATGAGCAATTTGTTAATCATGCAAGGAGGAGGGATGAAGTAATAAAGTGACAGCTAAGGGGAGGAGGATGGAGGCAGAGAGCAGTCTACTGATGATAAGGTCACAAACGAAGCTGCACTTATTCAAGTACCTTCTGGACTACTTGGAAGGGCATGACGATAATCTGCTGATTGATAAAATGACACCATGCAAAATAAGACCACTGATAAAAAAAAAAAAAAAAAAAAAAAAAAAAAAAAAACTAACAGAGTGCTAAGAGTGTTTTGCATATTTTACTGTACTGTTATTTTTGTTTGTTGATAAAGTTGGTCTGAAATTTTATTAAATCACATTTCCTGAAAATACTGTACAGATATATACTATATTATACTATTTTTTGTTTCATATATTATATTTATCTACCTCAACTTTTTTTTTTTAATTGGCTTTGGAATAACCATGATTTTGAGTTAACCATGCATATCTTCCCCTATAATACCCCAATAAATCAGGAGTTGACTGTATTTGTATATTCATATAAAAAAACCTCAATTTTATCCTTTTCATATGTAGTAATTTACACATAATAAAATTATTATAATTTTCATGTCTTTTTTTTTATGCTTAGGATAAAAAATAAATGATTTATCATTATCTTTAAAAATAATGGTATTAAACTCATAGTACACTGCTGGCCACCCAAATTGCAACACCAAGACAAGAGACATCACAACAAAATTAATTTAGTGGATAACATGTTGACCAAGTATCAAATGATTAAATTTTTAGACTTCTGTGAAGTGTGGTTCCTTTCAGAATCAGTAGTGAGAGTAGCCGCCATTGTTGGAGATCATTGCTGCCACACGCCTCGGCATTGATTCAAAAGACTTTGGATATGTTCTTGGGGTACAGCAGACCAAGCAGCTTCCACACACTGCCAAAGTTGATCTGATGTGGCAGCTTGGGATGTAATCTGGGTCAATCGTTCAGCAACCATGGACCACATGTTTTCTATCATCGAAAGATCTGGCCAGGGAAGCAATTCAATCTGGTGATTGACAAAGAACCCTTGGACAATGCATGCCACGTATGGTCGTGCATTATCCTGTTGAAATATGGCTGTGGGCAAGCTCTGAAAGGTAAGGAAAGACAACTGGCTCCAATACCTCAGAGATGTAGGGCTGGCTGTTTAAAGTACTGGTAATGCGTACTAGAGGAGTGTGAGAGTGATATCCAATACCGCCCCATACCATAATACCCAGTGCAGGACCAGTGTGGTTGTGCATAACGCAGCTGTTCAGCATCCTCTCTTCACGGTGTGTCCAGACACGAATCCGACCATTGTGGTGTTGCAGACAGAAGCGTGACTCATCAGTAAAAACAATTTCATTCCATTCTGCCGTCCACATCCTTCTTTCATTGCACCATTGGCAGAGAAGTCTGTGGTTCTGCGTCAAGGGTAGAAGAAGCAATGGACGTCTTGCGGACAGATCACTCTGCTGTAAACGGCGTCAAATGGTAGGCGCAGACACTGGATGATGCGCTACAGACTGAACATGCTGTGCTATTGTTCATGATGTGACTAAGCGATCCGTCACTGCTATGCGCACAATGTTCCTGTCATCACGTGAAGTGGTGCACTGAGGTGGATGCGATCGAACACGTTGGTCCGTCGTACCCTCCTGCATCCAATGGTCACATATCCGCATTACAGTTGTTTGGTTTCATCCAACACAACTACCAATTTCCCTGAAAGATAATCCACACTCTCGGTAGGTCACTACCCTTCCTCTGTCGAACTCAGATACTTGATCAAACGATGATCGCTGTTTACTATGAGGCATAATTGATAATTTTTTTGAAAAACACAATTCCCAAACTTGAAATCGTCGAAAACTCCAAGCCTTAAATAGAACTTTGAAATGGCGCCACAGGCGCGTGTGATGTACGTCTGCGCTGAAATACTAATCATTTGCATATCTCACCTCCGCTAATGCATGTTGTAAATTTCATGTTATTTGCATGCTTCCTTCAGGGTGTTGCATTTACAGTGGCTAGCAATGTATTATCCAAAAAATTATTTGTTGAAATAACTTGATACAATTAGCAAAGATGTGTCTATATGTCAAAAGATATATGTTGCAGCTTTTAAATAATACTTACTTGTGTGTCTGGACAAGAGTGCAGTCACCACCTTCAGCTTGTTCCATGTTATAAATATACAAAATGCCTTCACCTGATACAACTAAGACTCTTGGTATTTTCTGAATGCTGAGATGGAAAAATAAATTTGACATATGCCATTTGAAATCTGATAAGAAACTAAGTTTACTAATTCTTTATAACACATTATAGGAAATACTAACACACATTAGAGTCAAGTAAAAAATGTGTGCTCTTTTTAAATTGATTTCATCAAAATCGTAAATGGTAGTTACATAGAATTTGGCACAACATTAAATGTAGATTTTCTTGGTCAAAAACACATCCAAGTACATAAAACACCAGGAATTGCATTTGATTAATTTAAGCCACTTACTGCTTATTATGGTAAATTTCAAATTTAAATCAACTATTATATATGTATACTGTAATTACAATATATTTTGTAAGTTATTTTTTACCAAAATTGGGCAGAACTGGGACGACAGCCATTTCAATACTATAGAACAGGGCTTCTTAAAATTATTGGTGTGGGGGAGCCACACAATATTCACGAAAATTTTGTGGGACCCCATACGCATTGCACAAATCAGACAAATGCAGGAATGAAACTGTCAGTTTCTTCATTTGTAATGTAATATAATATTGCAGTTTTAGTTCATTAACATTAATTTTTAAAATAAAATGCATTATAAAAAAATGCATTGAAATGTTTTTGCTTTTTTCTTTGTTTTTTTATCCTATCTTTATCTATTTTCAGATACATTATGTAAAAATATTTGGTAATTGTAAAATTATTATAATAAGAAATATAAAAATTGCTAAAATTTTTGGCGACCCCTACTGCATGTCCCACAAAGCACAGTTTAAGAAATTCTGCTATGGAACATCAATGGAATCTTATATTATACAGATTTTAGATTTGTCCATGCAGGCCAATGTTGGTTTAGAAGTGGAAAAGCCTGCCAGCTACTGATACAGCTCAACTTCACTTGATAAAGGCATGACAATTTGTTACTGATAAATTTGATCCATACATCGAGTCAGAAAAAACGCAGTCTATATGCAATAAGTTCTGAAGGTATGACTCTAATGCACCTAATAACATATAATAAAATGGCATATGTTTTGGATGCATTTCAAAATGCTTGTCAGCAAGATTTACATTGTTCTAATAGTATAGTTGAACACTGAAGTTAATGTATGATAAAGCACTTAATGGATTATGACATATGAATCCTACCAAACACATGGCATTCTTTTGCTCAAGATGATCAATATTTCAACTGAACCATGGGCATCTCTTTCTTTATCATCGAAGTGCACTTAAATTTTATACTAATAACATTTTTTTAAATTCCATTATGAGAGGAATTACTGCTTGAAGGATTATGCCACATGAATCTCACCAACCCCACATCATTTTGATATGATGATCCTTGATCCTTACTTCAGTTAAATCCCAAGCATTTCATTTTTCATTATCCATGTCCACTTAGGGTTCACATCGATGAGGAGGTAACATTTTTAAATTCCATCAAAAAGGGCATCATTCTTGTGATAGAAACAGAGAACCACATGTTTCTTCATATTCATATTAGCTGATAGGTTTTAGTTTAATTTGATTATAGCAAAGCATTCAAGGGATGCCTTTGTGGAGGGCTTCCTAAGAGTACTGGCTGGTATACACATTACACATGGGGAAAACAATGAAAACACTCAGTAGCCAGTCCATTTGTTGGGATTTGAGCCCCGGGCTGAGCTACGGGATTTCGATGACTTTACCACTTGCCTGCAGGTGACATGTCAGCTGATAGATAGATCATCATGTTCTGAACCTCATTCAGCACACTAAACATAAGCAAACACCTGATCCAAGAGGATCTTTCATTCTTATTTCAGCTGAATCCTAGGCATTTCACTTTCTTTTTCCACGTCCATTTGGGTTTCATGCTGATGATGAGATAACATTTTTTAAATTCCATCGAAAATGGAATCATTCTGGTGATAAGGCAACTTAGAACCATATGTTTCTGTATATTCATGTCAGCTGATATTATCATCAAGATATAAACCTTGCTCAGCAGGCTAAATGTAAGCAAATAACTGATTACAGTTGCACTGTATAAGACATAAAGCTCATGAATAATCATTAATCATATAGGGTCTGTCGTGATCTATTGACATATGCTGCCCTGAATGAAAATGGTTTTAAAACTGCCATTATGGAAAAGCATGAATAACAACCTGCACTACATTTTCTCACAACACTCAAAATAAATATATATATAAATACATAAATAAAAGTGTCTTAAACTTGGAAGCAGTAAGTCCAGATTTCAAGGCTACAGCACACACCTGTAAACAAAAGCTTACTCAAAGATTCATTTGCTTTCAAGTCAAATGTGCATTAGTGTTATTTCATAGCCTCCCTTTATAAGCCTAAAGCAGAAATTTTTAAAAACATTCCAATGAAGATAGTTTGCTGTGTTTTGTAATGGCCAGAATGTTGTAAATAATCCAGTACTTTATGGTAAAATATTTCTTAAATTAAGTGCAGAATTTTATGAAAGCAAATTTAATGCTACAGTTGAAGAAAATTCAATAATTTATTTTAAAAAGTATATATTAAATAACAAATTCAATAAAATATTCACACTTTTATGAACAAAATTAGAGACATATTCAAGAGTAAATAAACTGTCTCAACTCATTTTCCATGCCTATTACTGATTTAATTCAAGCTTTTTATGCTAGATTTAAATAACAGGTACAAAACAAAACTTGCCAATTTTGACAATTAATAGTTACACATCATTAGTGTTTTAATTTCTAAATGGTTATTAAGTTATTATTAAGTTTATATCATCATGTGAAAATGACAATTTTTTTAATGAATTATTTTGTTAATTGGATTTTTTAACAAATTAAACAAAATGTCCAAGTTACAAACCAGAATTTTTTATTATGCACAGTCCTTGGGAAAAGTCATCAACATAGCTCTGCCCAACTTAGAGAATCAAAACTGTTTTTATAAAAGTCTCCACATTTTTTTAATGAAACTTGTAACTGAATATAGTCAAAAGTCGTTAATCCAGACTCGTCGGGACTCCGGCGATTCCGGATTATAGATAATCAGTTTAAATCTGGTAAGATGGCATGCAGAAATTATAAAATTAAAAATATGAAACCATGATTTATGAAATAAAGAACAATTATGATCTAAAGGGTATCAAAATTTACAAAAAAAAAAAAAAAAAAAAAAAAAAAAAAAAAAAAAGCTTAATATTTATTTGTTTACTTTATTAAACATTTCTTTCAATGTAAGTTGTTTAAGTTGCTTCGTTTTTTATGTGATAATACATTCTCTTTAATTCTATAAACAGATATAATTTCTTGTTCAGTTACAAAGTTCCGCTGTTCAAGTACTATAATTACTGTGTCGAGAATACCGACTAATTTGTCAATCGAAATTTTTTCGTTTTCAATAACCTATGTCACTTTCTTCGCTATCGGAAGTGAATTATAATGATGAGGAATTTGATTTAAATCATATCAGAGTACATTCGAGATGAAATACTACATTTAGTAAGGAATTATAAGCCAAATAAAATAAAAACATCTGCCCTGAAGATAAGGATAGTGCTGACAGATCAACTTCCAATTCATTGCGCACTGCTGCGTTAAAGATAAACAAAGTTTAGATAAACAAATGTTAAAGTTTAGATAAACAAAGGATATGCCTTTATCCATTTTTTGCAGCAATTCCACTTTTTGCTTAATGGACTTTGAAACATATTTTCGCTTTGTAGATCCTTTACATATTGGTAAATATATATCAGAAATTCTATTTGACATAATCAAAGTTCAAGCTTACTTTTATAAAATTGCTCTAACAGTCTGCAAAAAATAATAAGCCGAATCCAATTCGAAGATTAAGGAACAACGCAATCTTCAACATTAACTGAATTAGATAATTTTAGCTTAGCTTATACCGGCCGTTATACTATTAAACGCACATTCGTAAACGTATTTTCATCACGCACACACGCTTATTCGCAGCCATAAAGGTCTTACGCGCATGCTTCAATGCGACGCATGCGCAGAAAGTTTGTAGCTTTGAGGTCCGGATCATGGGTGTCCGAATTAATGACTTTTGACTGTATATATGTCTAAGGTCAACATTTAAAGACATTAAGCTGGCTGTCAATTTTTTTAACATCATGATTACATATACACAGTAAAAGTTAAATTATTTTAAATAAGAAATGACATGAAAAGAATGATTTTATATCCAAAAGACAAAAATTCTATTTTCAAAATATTTAATCACTTTAAAAGTATAGTCGCAACAAAAACCTTCATCAATCAGTAATTAAATTACACATTAAAAAAAGCTTCAAACTTTGCAATAAAGTTTTGAATAAATTGAGGAAATGATAATTTGATGCAATCAGATAAAAAGCATATCCGAAACTGATAAACATATCCCAGCTCAACTTCGGAAAAATTGGAATACAATATAGAAAGCTGCTTACCTGGCTAAAGCACAGATGTTTCGCAGTCCTGAAAAAGGCAGGTGGACTGTGGCAAACGATCTTCCTTGACAAAACATGTCAGCTACTTGCGTAGGTAAGTAACTTGCAGACTGAATGATTGCTTTTCCAAAATAACCAATCCAACTCTGTGGTTCTTCTGATGGCTTACTATAAATCAAATAATTAATGCAATGCAGAAAAATAGTTCTAGTTCTGTAACTTTGTTCAATGAAAGTAAGTATTGTAAGTAATTTTATCCCTATTCTTATAAAATATTTAAAAAGTTGCTGAAAGAATTACACAAAAGAAGAATAAAAGGGAAAAAAAAGTTTAAAAAGACAAAAAGAGGTGAACACTTCATTTTTTTAAATTATTCTTTTCTCTTAAAGTTTAATCTACTGCTCTTTTTCCAACTTTTTAAACTAAAGTATTAAATTCTATGCGTTCCAAAAAGATTATAAAAATTTTATTCCTAATATTAATACTACTACTAAATCTATCGCAGATTTTAGTGCTTTGTTTAATTCAAGGTTTAGCTTGACCTTACAGCACTTTATAATTTTTTTTAGCACACACACATATAATTTTGTTTAAACAATATACTTTCTAAATAATCTTATATTTTACTTTTTATACCGCTGTTTTCTACTCGATACTATTAAATTTTTTAAAAATGTAGAAATTAATGCAAGAACTGTTAAATATGAAAACAAATTTTAGTTAAATTTTAATGTCATTGAACACAACAGACTTGGTTTCACGGCTTAGCAACACCAGATACTAATTTTATTTTAGGAAGAGCACAATATTTACATGATACCTTTTCCTTTTTGTCTTTTTAGTTGTTAACAGGAAGCTCTTCTTTGAGGTGTTATGCTATATCTGAGGTTTTTAACACTGCATTTTTTTAAATATAGTAACATGAAAAATGCTTTTGTCCCAAATCCAGTAACCAAATTCCCCACCTTGTTATTTTTCACAATTAAGCCCTCACATATCACAAATCCAAGCTTAAGCCCCCGGCTCTCTTTTTTCTTTTATTTTTTCCCTCCTGGCCCGAAGAGCAAATTCAACAATATATTTAAAAAAAAAAATAAGTGTAATAAATAAATCATTGAATGAATAGAGGTTCGGGATTTAGCTTTGAAAAAAATTAATATTAAAATTTACATTTTCAATAAAAATACAAACATTATTTTTCCATTGTTCCAACACATATACTATCAAAGTCTCAAAAATGGCTTATATTTTAAAAATATTTAATACATTACTGTCAGGTAAAAATTAAAGGGAGGAAAACTATGCAAAGATGTTAGTTTATTCTATTCAGAAGTTCAATGAAAGATAAGGGCTTGAAAGCTCAAGGTCAGTGCTTTTACATAGTCCAATGGAAGTCACCTTCACACTGAATCCACTCTTTCAACATGAGTAGAAAGGAATTCAAGAGAAGGCTTAAAGTTCTGATTTCAAAATTAATAGTTGTTAAATACATTTCACATCTGCCGAAGTAGAAGGCCGTGATGAGGATTTCATATACTGATTGTAAGAAATGATATGCAGTTGGGATAATCTGCCAACAGATGGTGTTGTAAGAACTGCCAATAGACAGCACAAAATACAGAAGTGTCAGACAGTTACAGGAGAGCACAAAAAAAAAAAAAAAAAAAAAAAAAAAAAAAATGTAATGGTGATGTATTGTGTTTTGTGTTTGAATTATAATTCCCCTGTAAACAGCTGGATGTACATATGCATATATTTAGTTCCTTAATAAACAAGTATTGAATATTTATGATAGTAACAGCATACAGAATTTAGAAGTACAAAATCATATTGTTAGTTATTATCATGGATGAGAATACTAAAGAAGTTTTAGACAAAGCGAAATGCAAAATGCTAAGATTAACAACACGGTAATTAACAGAATATCCAAATTACTGCAAAACGTTACTGCAGATATAAAATCATTAGAAAAATATAAGATGGATCTATAAGAAAAAGCAGAACAAGTACTTAAGTTAGATCTAGAAATTGAGGATTTATACCTGAAGTGTTGGATTTTGAAATATAAGTCAAGAATAAGCAGGAATATACAGAACACATTATTTGTGAAAAACAAAAGTTACGAATTATCTTCAGACTTTGCATAAGTATAAGGCAGATTTGTCGCTGAAGAGTAATTCTTCACCTATTTTGAATAATGAACCAGGGAAACCCAAAACAAATTTGCCAAAACTTTACAGAGAGCCTTCTCATGGTGATTTTGAGAGGTTTCACGAATTTTGGGCACAGTATTGATTAGCATTCACCTTAATTAGCATTCAAGGGTTATTGGTATCAGAAAATCTTAAAGAAAGGTAAGGGAAAAAAAGAAATTATTGTAATTTCCCATATGAACCATTTGTTAAATTTAAATGCAGTAAAATCAGCCTCCTATTTGAAACAGTTATGGGAGTTACAAAATACAACAGAAATTCATATACGGGGTTCGCAAACTCATTGTGTTGCACTGAATTCATATGGAAACTTGTTCCTGTTATGTACCAAACTTATTTCAGATTCTATTGTGTTAGAGATTTACAGACAGTATGAAAAAGATGATTCTTGGAACATAACAGAAATATTTAAATTTCTCAGGAGGGAAACAGAAACATGAGAATGAACATTTTTGTTTCAAAAAACAGGGGATAATAAAGATTCAGTTAAAAGCAAATAACATAGTCATTTAACAAATTTTCAGAAACGGGGAAAAGATTCAAAACTATGCAACGCCTGAACATATTCCGAACATTGAATTATTTTGCAAAACGACTTTTAAGCCAGTTCTGAAAGTTATGATAACATGGTGAGGAAAGTCCCAAGTTCCAAAGAAAGGCAGTATTTATAATGTCTGCAACAAATAATTGGTTCAAGTCGTCAACTCCAAACGCCGAGTGTTGCCCCTCCCGCCACCATTCTCCTGCTTTCTCCGCGCAATGCTCCGCCATCAGGATGAGGCCGGGGGTCGGAACCCCATAATTGCTGGGATCATAGCGTCACACGCACCTCCAACACAGTGAATCCAGTGACTTTTTCACCTGCCATATTCACCCGCCCATTTGAAGCCAGCCCCAGCGATTTCCCCTTTCTACGCGCCCCACCGTCTTCCCCTGCCCTGTTGTATACCCTACGACCCCCGCTCCCTTGTCCTCATCTTCTTCGTACGCGACCCCCATTTGCCAACACTGCGCGCACCCTCCACAATTCGCCCTTGCAGCACAACCTCGCACTACTTGGCCTGGCTAAATGCCCCGACAGCCTCCGCCCTGTGCCCTGCGGCCCTCCACTGCCGACACATCCGCGCATTTCCTGCCAGTCCCAAACAAACTTGCCCCCCAATTCTGTCCGCTTGTGCACTCTTTCCCTCCTCCTTACCTAATGTTTCTGCGACATGGGACCCCCCTTACCCCAACCCTCGCCCCCTATTTTACCTTATAGGCCGCTGATTCCACTTCCTTTCTATCATCCTCTAACTAGTGCTGACCCTCAGTACTTCTTTCGACGCGTGCTGACTTTCGGGTGTCTTCTCCCCCTTCCCCCTGGTGGGTTTGCTTTGTCTCCCCGTTCCTCCCGCCCCCCTCTCCCGCTCCCCCTCCGCGCGTTCTCCCCCCCCTTCGCCGCCGCTTTCTCCCCCATTCTCGCCGACCCGCAGACTTCTTCATCTCTGCTTTCCCGACCTACGCGCAACCTATTCCTCAACCGCCCTCACTGCTCGACCATGGGAGAAATAACACTAAATCTTACCGCGTCGTCACGAGCTAGCTCCCACCTCATGACGTTCCCCCCCCCCCTTCTCTGCTTTTCTCTCCCACAACCCCCACCTCCCCCTCCCTCCACCCCCTAAAAAATAACAATTTTACAAATAGAAAAAAAAAAAAAATTGTCTTACATAGTAAATCTCACTTAAGTAGTAACTAAACCAAATTTATTAGAAACATAAAACAAGACCTTAATGTACACACCCACCAAAAAATTATTGCAATGTGGACATTTAGAGGGATTGTTTGCTTTTGTCGCCAAAATTCCTTAGGAAAAAATTTCCTGTCATAACAATTAGTTTCCTTCATAACATTTAGCAATTAAAATGCTTGCTGAGCTTTGGTGAAATTGAAGAACGAAACATAGTTTTGACCGGGCCGGTGATCCCCACGACGCGCACAGCCCTAGCGGCCCCGTTTGTGTGCGATGAGAAATGCAGTAAACAAATACTCGTCGCAAAAAATGACCCATCGGCATCCACGAATTCGTAGCTCTCCCGAATGTTGAAAATATTAAAAACCCGTCTCCCAATGCAATCTACTGTCTTTGACACCCGGCGAAGCCGAAGCATTAACTCATGCTTTTTGACTTACATTTTGCTTCACACTTCAGTGCCCCTTCTTCACACCGTGACTAGTTATTCTCGCCCCCCCAGCCCACCGGCTCCCCCACCACATCACACACACCCCACCCGCTTGCACCACCCCCGCCCCGTTCTTTCTTTGAAGCTATTCTTTCCCTTGTGGAACTTTGCGGCTCGACGACTGTGGAGGGCCCGACACTATTCTGCAGATCGAGTCAGGTTCTTTTTTGCCATGCCATTTGGAACCCCCCCTGAGTCACCATTCGTACCACCGCCCCCCCCACGACACCCCCCACCCCCCCGTTTATCGGATATTTGTGACCCACTCTGTCCGTACCGTTTCATTGCGTGTCCCCACACCAACCCCGGCCGGCTGCCTCCCCTTTTACCCCTCCACGCGCGTGGTAACATCGCTCCCTTCACTGGTGACGCCCGAGCAGGCCGCAACAAATAATCTCCGGCGCCACACACCAACGAAAGAGGGAGCAAGAAGAGCCGAAACCAGCTTCCAGCGCATTGGATTGCGGTTTAATCGGTGAGTTGGCGTGGTGCCGCACACGCAGGTTTATGGATCGCAACCAGAGTCCGTAGTTGCGGTTTTTACTTCCTATTTTCACCCGCATGCATCCCGTGCCGACCCTCGCTGTTGTGCTTGGCGCCTGAAACTTCTCCACAGAACAATTCCGACACTCACCTTAATATTACAGTACTTACGATGCACACACACGCCGCACAGGCACGCCGGCAAGCCAAAGGAACCACTACTAAATCTAGCTGCCGATATCGATCAACCCAATCAATGCAATGCGCAGATTCTAACGATCGAAGGACCAACCGGTCCTGCCACCAGCCAGACCCCCCATACACCCCCACGATCACCACCCGCCACACACTTTTCCCCCGCGGATTTAATCACACTTACGAAAAATTCGTAAAAGTTGGCAGGTATGCTAGTTTAATTAATCAAATAAATTAAAGTTGCATAAGTTTTTATAATTGAACCATTAATTTCTCCTGTCAGCATGTATTCAAATGAAAAACTGATTGTTCATTATTCAAAGGGTGCATTATTCTCATTCACTACAAAATTCGGACCTATATTCAAATACGTGCTCATAATTAATGCATATCATAACCTACAATAAAATATATCATCATAATCTACAATAAAATATATCATACATAGTAACAAGTATTTTTATGTTTAAAACTTCATGTCTTTTAATTTACAGTTTCTTCTAATCACAATCCATATTTATAAGAATTTTTTAACTTATATCTGAAATAAAAATCTTATCTGACAAGAATTTATCAGAAGATTTTTTTTTTAAAAAAAGTATTTGAACCATATCATGCAACGAAACAAAATTACATCCACTGAAATATTTTTTTTTAAATCATGACATGAAATTGTACACTATAACTGTTTAATATTTTGCTTTTTGTCTTTTAACAAAAACTTACTGAAAAATTCAAAACAATTAGAATGTGTACAATGCAAAAATTTCTTCATCAGATATATTTTAAGCATCAGTTTAAAAAATGTAAAGTTTCTTGTACTGACGCATCAGGAAAGAGGAATCTTCACTAAATGACAATGAGTAGATCCTTACACATCTGAAACATTATTTGTATTAAACAAGGAATTACAGCAAAATATAAGAGATTAAAAAAAAAAAAAAAAAAAAGCAATACAAAAATATACCTTTTAACTCCCCTTCGAAATTCATACAACTTTGTGCCATCTAAAACATTGAACACTCGTATAACAGTCCCTAAAAAAAAAAAAAAAAAAAAAAAGAAAAAGAAAAAGAAAATATTATACTGATGCAATGAATTTGAAATACCAGCAATGCTAATCCAAGCTAATAAAAGAAGCTTGCCAAGAAAGTCTATTATAATTCAACATACGATACGATATGTACATTACATCTTTTAGATCATCTAGAATAATTTTCATGTTAAAATCCTGGAGCTAGTACATGTTTGCAGAAAGTAAAAGCACTTATGCAGTTCAACTAAAAAGTTGATGAAGAGAGATTTAAGCTTTCTACTATATCTGCAAAACAAACAAAGAGTTGAAAAAGTACCCCAAAATATTGAGTCTAATAATAAATTTAATTTATTAAATTAAAATAATGATGCTAATATTGTAAGTGCTAGTAATACTACACCTAGCCAAGCAGGAGCCGACGATCAGCCAAGAAAAGGCTATCCCCCAATAATGGTGAATCTGGGAAAACTTAAGCATGAGGAATTATTAAAAGATTTAGCACTAAGACTGAAGCCAAATTCTCATTAAAGTGAATGGGGAATTGTTGAAAATATTACCACAGACTTCTGATGACCACCAAATACTGAGTGCTCTGTTTCAGGGAGAAAAAAAAAAAAAAAGATCACAATGTCATAAATGTAAATTACGTCAGACCACTAAAATTAGTTTTTAGAGGTTTATCCTCCACTACTAAGACGAATGACATACCCAGCGCATTAGCCGATAAAGGTTTTGCCATAAGTAAAGTGACTCAAATAACTAGACGCAGAACGAAAGCCGCTATGCCTTTATTTCTCGTACAAATAACGAAAAATGATATCTCTGATCAAATATTTTATGTGTCTGATCTATTACTGTTTGCCATGAAGGTAGAAAAGTACATATCCAAGAATCAGGTGCCACAGTGCTATAATTGCCAAAAGTGGCACCCTTCTTCGGAGAACTGCTTCTTTAAACCAAGGTGTGTAAAATGTTCTTTAGACCACAAGACGATGGATTGTCTCATCAAAGGAAGAATAGAAGAACCCAATGCTGTAACTGCCTAAAAAATCACGTCGCGTCATATCGTGGGTGCGAAAAGTTCCCTAAAAATAGAACTAGCCAGCAGATTAAAGACAGTACTGTAAAAAGCAGAATCTCCTTCACAGATATGGTGAAAAATCAGGCTTAACACTCTAGTAATAAACTCCCTAGTTCGGCTACTGCTGCACAAAATCAGTCAGTACAGGCAAATATGCAATTTAATGTATCTGATATTAGCAATGCAGTCAAAAATCTGAAAGTTTCATATGTAAATAATCCTAAGCAAAGCACGAGTGCAAATAACGCCTCTAGCTCTCCACAGGAGAAAAATCACTATTCTGAATTTATAAGTTTTATTAAGAATATCACTGATTTCAACAATATTTTTGGAATCAACAAAATTAGAATAATGAAATGTCTCAAACGACGCAACATGGCCCACTGAAAGAATTAAAGCTTAATGAAATCAATAATTTAACTATGTAAGCAAAGCATGCCCTTCTCAATCGCAGCATGAAAATTGTTAAAGTAAATTGTAATTATTCACCTTCAGTTAAAATCTGTATTTTGCCAATATTATTGTGAATTATAAATATCTCCCCATTTATTGTTTTTATCCTCACTTATTATACGTTTAGGCAACTCATTGTTCCATCCCATGTTTTTTTTTACTTAAATTACACTTTAATTAACTTTACATTTACTCATGCTTATTGCAATTCTTTCCCGCCCACCCACCAATGCCTGATTTGCAAGTAGATGCACTTCCTTTACAGGATTTCCATTGGACATGTTCACCAGTAGCTCCACCCCTTGCACTGAGGTATCGACTTTGGAGGAGTAACTAACTCATACATATATGAAGACTCATTCGTAGCATTTTTCATGAGATTTCATCTCATCTATGGACATTTTTCCACATTATGGTAGGAAAGTAATGCATTTTTCCAACGTGCTCTACACAGGATGGCGCTGTCAACAAGTGTTTCAAACACCTGAGTCTTCAACTAGAATTAATGCATAGTAACATTTGCCACATTAATTTTGATTTAATATTAAACAATAATTATAAAAAAAAATCAAATATACAGTTTTATGTTATCTTCACATGTAATGATCTATATCTAGTCAAGCACTGTTACCTCCAGTGAAGCTAAGTGATTATTGGAATATGGCACAGAACATGAGAACTATCTGCCTTAGGCTGAGGGATGCTTTCACAGAGCACTTCCTATGGGAAACTGGCTCATAGTTATGTTATATGTAGGGAAAAGCAGCCCGTACACCTGGAATCAAACTCAGGTCAGATTCCCAGCATTCAGCAGTAAACCACTTGATCATTGGCACTCAAATGCCCCCCCTAAAATGAAACCAATCCAATCAACAGCATTACAGTACAAAGTCCCAAATTCAGATACTTAATACTCAGAATGATTGATCTAAAATCCGGATGTCTGAATCACCAGCAACCTTTTTTTCCCCCCCTCTCATTTTTATTCTGCACTGACAACAATCTGGTAAATCATTATATTGATTATTTTTTTCTTTCGTCACCACATGACTATCAACACAGTGCAACTGCAGAAATGATTCTCGCAGTGATGTGTACATAACTTTTTTTAAAAAATATTCGTAACTGAATACCAAAGGAAAGAGCATGACAACCTTTTATGTTGACATAGAGGTTTGTAATGATTACTGACTTCACCTAACTTCGCTGCAAAGTACTGAATGTTTTGACAAGAAGAAATTTAACAAAAATGTCTTTCCATATGCAAGAAATAAATTTTGTAAATGATACTCAGAGGCCAAAAGATACATTTAGCACTATTTGAATTAAGAATTACACATTTGTTACTCAGATATACCCTAGACTGGTGCCTGGGCTGGTGTGGTACTCTGGGCGGCAGAATTTAGCGGAGGCAAAATTTTTAGAACTTTGAAAGCATTGAGCAACAAAATTAAGGGATAGCAAAATCTGTAGCATTTAGCAAAAGCATTGAGATGCAAAATTTTTAGAATTTAGAAAGGCATTTGGCAGCAGGATTTCAGATGGGCAGAGACTGCACCAGATTGAAAATGCCTAGTGCTGGCCCTGTAGCCAGTATATGTGGGAATTAATTTATTCGGGACTCAGATAAGCCTTAAGCATGCGTTGGAAATAGGCATAAGTATAATAAATAACTAATATAATTCAAGTTTCATTCCATCAGCATGAGATAGAAGCAAGATAAAATTTAGTGGAATGACATGTCTTTAGTTGTCAATCTCAAGATATATCACCAATAGTGTATAGCAGAAGCTACCTAAGATTTATGATGACAGCTGCAAATTTGAAAGTATTCAGATATCACAAATAAAATGTTAAATGTTCCAATTAATGGAATTTTTAAAGAAATACAGAGAACTGGTAATAAATGCAATTGATGTAATGCTGCTACCAATAATGAAGAAAGGCACAGAGAGGTTTTTGAGGGAAAAAAATTTCGATTGCCCAATTAGTGGGAATGTTCACCGCAGCAGTTACAGGACTTGAACAATGGAATTTCATAATTGAACAAGAAATTATGCCTATCTATAGAATTAAAAAGAAAGTATTAGAATTAAACAACTAACATTGCAAATTAAACAACTTACATTGAAAGAAACAACAATGCAACCAAATAAATATATTAAGCATTTTTGTTTTTTCTTTCTTGTAAATTCTGATTTCCTTAAAGTCATAAATTCTTCGTAATTTCAAAATCACTATTTTATAATTTCTACATGCCACCTTGTAGAGTCATTAGGTTAACTGGAAGCAGAAAAGATGAAAAATAATACAACCGCCTTCGGCGGGAATCGAACCACTGACCTCTGGAATACCGGCCCAGCTTGCTACCGTTACACCACGAAGGCACGCTAGGAAAGTGGGAGAAATACCTTATATACTCCCCTTTCCAAAGGGCGACTAGGGTTTTAGGGGACCTAGTCGCCAAATCCTGGGTGCGGAGAATCATCATCCACAACCCTTTTAGTTCGGGTGCCACTTGTAGTCATTAGGTTAATTGGAAGCAGAAAAGATGAAAAATATGCAACCGCCTTCACCGGGAATCGAGCCACGGACCCTCTGGAATACCGGACCAGCGTGCTACCGTTACACCACGAAGGCACGCTAGGGCAGTGGGAGAAATACCTTATAGCCTTACTAGATTTAAACTGATGATCTAATATCCAGAAAAATACTAACTCCAGAACTGCCAAAGTCCTGAAGAGTCTGGATCTCAGACTCTGTAGTGTAGTACTTGCTATACATGATTTCTATATTTTTGCAAGTTATAATATAATAAATGTGCCTATTCTAACATAAAAAACTAATGATTAATTATAATAACTTATTTTTGATAGTTTAATATCATTTTTACATAAGCCACTTAATTCAGTACTTGTGTGCAATCGCAACCCCTTTAGTAAAAGTTGCTAAATTTTTTAAATGTGCCAAACTCTGACAACTATGCTCATAACAATCTTTTTAGTTAAGCAATGTTGCCATTTTGCATGCATGTTTTACGTTGCATTCAAAAATTGCAACAGCTTTTATAAACCAATCATGATACTTTTGGCTGCAATTTTAAAATATGAGTTTGTGAAATTTACCAGCACTGGAAGAAACTGCTGTAAAATTTCTGCAGGATTACAGAATCTTGATGCGAACTGATTACAGATTCTTGAAGCAGCGACTCTCAACCGGTGGTACACAAGGTAAAAATAGTTGGTATGAAGAAACAAAGTATTTTTAACTATTAAATTCAAAAATCTCATGAAGAAAAAGAACAGTTGATAGAAATTTCCTGTAGTCAAACTCTAACTGAAAATTCCAAAAATAATACGCTTGTTAACTTTTGGCTGTAATGGAAAAAAAAAAAAAAAAAAAATTAAAGGCATTTCAAATAAAGCTATGAAATTTTTTTTTTTTTTTTTTTTGCAAAACCTATTTGTGTGAATAAGGATTTTTTTCCACGTTATATTTGAAAAACAAATACAGAACAAAATTAAAAGTGGATCCTAATTTATGGTTAAAACTAAGTAAAATAAGACCAGACAAAGAAATTGGTCACTCTTACACAGGCCTAAATTTCACACTAAATTTTAGAATTAAAGTATTATATGATAAAAGTTATAGTAGTAATTTTGATCATTAAAATGGTAACCGATTTTTATTCTAATACTTTTTCTGTGTGCATATCTAATGCAAATACACAACAGGTTGTGCAAATGGCAAAATATTTTTTTTTCAACTATTCTATTTAAAAAGTGAAAAATAATCATTGTAAAATGTAGTGGTGGTTTTCAATTTTTGTTTAGATGATACACGTTAGTCAAAAGGTTGAGAACTGCTGCTCTAGAGGAAACAACGAAAAAATGCATTTGGTAGTTAGCTGATGTTGCCGGGGTTAGCATGATAGCGAGTCTCTGCAATTCTCCAATTATTTTATTCATTATTTTTTTTTTTTTTTAAGGAAAAACAGATTGCTGTGTATTTGGAGAGAAGAACAGTGCAAAAAATTGTAAAGAGTTTTGGAGTACAGCATGTTTTATTTTTTGGTACCACATAAGCTTTAATTAATATTTAAAATTTTTATTTTAAATCGCTAAAATATGCCTTCATTTATTCTGTTGATAACATTTGCCAACTTGGGATAAATATTGATAGTCTGGGAATCTTTTTAAAAAAAAAAATGTGAAGACCAACCACTTGCAAAGTAACTTGGTAAGTAAATTGCATCAAAGTAGTTGCATTAATATATAGCAATAAGTTGTTTATAATCAATTTTAATTTCAAGAAGAAGTTTATCACATTATTTTTGGAAATGCATTATATTAACTTTTAACATGCTTTCCATGAAAATTTACATGCATATTCCTTCACAAAGCTATAATCTGTGATCAAAATGATCCGACAGATCGAGAATCCAGAAAACATTTATCTTTGGAGGAGACAATAAATACTGCTGTTAAAGAATCATGATAATTAAGACAAACATACCTTCTCAGATGCAGTAGCTAGCTTTGTTCCAGTAGGGTCAAAGGCCATTGCTGCTAAAGGATTATCATGGGCTGGAATCATGGACTTAGCTTGCTAAAATGAAAGACATGTTTAATGCTAGCAAGTCAACCGAAAGAATATTTATTTGAATAAGAAAAGATTATGTCTATACATATATAAATAACACAAAAAATCAAGAAAAGTTCAAAAGTTATGTAACTGAAATATTAATAATTAATAATTTTACACATTTCATAAACTTTAATTTTATCACAAAATTGCATGATTTGACGATTTTAGAGAAACATCAACAAATCATGCATTTTAATTTCACTGTCCTTAGTTATATGAAATATAAAATATGAAAACTGACTGAAAAATTTTAACACTAATTTTTTATTTAAAACCAAATTATTCTATGAGCCCAGTACTTTTTCTTTTCCAAAGTAATGTATTTTGCATTTCATAGTGATTTCTCTTTAAGCATTAGATCAATGATGCTTTTCCTTTTCTCCACTAAAAGCAAAATTTCTTTACCTGCAATTATCTTCTGCACGTTCAGAATACCCAGAAATTGCATAACACCGAGTACAATTCAATGGAAAGTATCTCAATGCTGTTAACACCACCACAACAATGTATCTTGTTTCCATGAAGCAAAAACTACCATTTCTTAAGCAAATCCTTTTTTTCTTTTTCTTTTCTTTTCTTTTCTTTTTTTTTTTTAATTTTTCATGGCTTCAAACAAATATATTTTCAGGAAGTCTAAGCTAAGTAGTCGATATTCATTGTTTACCTATGTTAACTTGTCAGCCATGTCGAATGGCTTATCAGAATGCCTATTGTCTTTGAAATCCCTCTGCTGAAACACAGCTAAATGTTTCACCATTATGCACACAATATAACACCTTTAGTACTTCATTCCAACTCTTCCCATTTCAACACAAAAGTCAACAACACCTCTGTCATATTTTCATAGAAATGTTCTCATCTGCCACAACAAAATGAATAACATGTTTTACTTTCTGGACCAATCCAGACAAGAAATTGGTTAATGACTTTGACTGCATTAATGAAGGGCCTGGGTTTGAATCTTGGAGAAAGTATGGATGTAATTTGTCCATCTCTTTATAGGAGGTAATGATAGCCCACTATTAGGTGCCTCCATAATAAAGTGACCACCACTTTAGACCTTAGCAGTGGCCAACACCTATTAATGGCTAGAGCCAGCCATTGGAGGGGGTAAAAAATTCTGCACCAAATATTGAGGCATAGCTGTCCCAATGTACGTTCAGATATTCTGATACATGACATTCACAAAATGTAAAGCATAGTTGCTGTATTTAACATCAAGAGAGAATAATACATCCAGTCTTAAAACTTCTCGGTCCTTATGGACTGGTGAAGAGCAAAAAATCCTGTTATTCTGACTTGAACTCTCAACATATGAAACTATAAAAAAGGTTTATTATTTAGAAATGCCTGGCTTTTGGCACTAAAACCAATAGCTCTCTTCCTTCACAGTTCTTCTGAGTTAAAGAATTAACACTATTAAATGCAGAGCATGCGTAAATGCTCTTCGCCCATGGATTGCTCAAAGTCACAAAGAAACTGGAGAATTCCTGAATCTATATAAAAGAGATAAGAATTAAGGTAATTACAATAGTGCGATCGTGGTTGATGTTATCATTTGGAAATGTTATTGAATTATGGATATCCTGTTCATTCATATGCTAAAATATGGAAAATATAATAACACTTATAGTGATCAACAAGTCGATCAATATGGCCAAAGTATTACAGACTGAACATATGGGAGAACTAACTTTTCCAATGTGCAGCATTTGCTGCATATTTCTTCTTGTCAGAAAAGACAACAGAGAATTCTTTAAAGCATGCCAACTTTTTAGTAAATAATGAAACAGATGACGGGGGGGAAAAAGCATAACTTATATCAATTGTGTAGAATTTAACCCATTACCGCCAAAACTACAAGGAATGTTTCTTTTCTCATGAAAATAATAACAAATATTTAATTAAGCATTTATAACATAAATTTACATTGAAAATAAAAAAAATGCTCTTACCTGTGGAAAACGCGAGTGTTGCGTTTCACGCAACGTCAGCAGAATAAGAATACGGATGTTAGTGAGTAGGATTGTACTTGCGTGAGTTCTTTCGAGTGGAGCGCAGGATACTTTTTAGCTGTATAACGTTTTATAAATCTACAAATCACTTTACTTACAATTAATTTAATATTAAAATATACATTGTATTTCGTTTACAAATACAGATTATTCATTCGAAAGATTCAAGCATGAAAAGCTTGATTACGATCATGATGTAAAGCTAATGCATACATTGCATCTATAAACAGTGGCTATGGTACTCTTACAACAAACTCTTTGTTATCAACGGACTTTACGATAAAATGTCTACCATCTCATGCAATGGTTGAATGCTGAATTTACAAGGTCCTGTTGCTGATCTATTTTGGGCCTAATCTACGCTCTCAATAGGAGTTGCAAAGAAATAATATTCTCATCTGAATCTAAAGAGAATTAATAATATTCCAGTAGTAAAAGTGTTGATATTGATCGTTAGATACGGTCTCACCTCATAATTTATCAGTATTCTCAATTTGACATTGTCAAATGAAAATTCTGTTTCATATTCCGTACGCAAACGTGATATCCTCTCGTACAACAGGACAGAAAATATCAAAAGACCAATAAATTTTTTTTGAGGTAAAGAATGGTATCCTGTAAGCAATAATATTCAATAAATCTTCTCATATAGTCTTCAGAGCAATAATTTCTGGTTTTTTTTTTTTTTTACGATATTTTTCATCACAGTTGTCTGTAATGAGGTAAAGAGCAAACGAACATCGAAAATTTGTGCACTAGTTTTACCTTGTTTGTCTTTTATAATTTCTCTTCTATCTCTTTCTTTATGTTCTCCTGAGACATAAATAACAGTCCTTTTTATCCACTTACAAGATTTAATCTCTCCTTTTTAAACTTTTTAGTATGAATAACTGCTTTTAGTAAGGCTTACTTCGTGAATTTCAATTTCAAGTTCATTTAGTAAAATATCATTATCATTATTTTAAACATTGCATTCCTTCTTCTTCCTATAGTTTCTGCATTCTGGGGGAACAACAACAATATCAGTTTTATGGTCATTATTAACATTATATCATTCTGTTTCTTCATCAAAAAAACCTTTAAGGGCTTCTTCTTAAAGATACCTCGTTCTAGGCATTTTAAACAACCATAACAGAACCAGAACTCGAAAGGAATGACGTGAAAAGGAGCTTGACTACCCTCCTGGACTAAATATGACACTCATAAGACGGCGATTCTGATTCTTTCGTTAAATATTTCGCAAAAATACCCGGTCGAAAATTTTGCTATAAAGTATGTTTTACAGAAATAATATCAAAAACAAAATGAGGTAGTGAAGGAAAATGCCATTTTTTTTACAGAAAGACGCTGATCATAATATTTCCCTACACCCCCATTCTCAAATGTTCTTGTTCTAACAATATCTTATTTGTCATAATTCTTTTTTCTTTCAACTGCTAAAATCCACTGTTAATCTATAAAAATATATGTTGATCTAAATTAACATGTATAGAAATTTTAGAATTTAGGATTTTATAATAAATTAGTCACATATTACTGACAATATTAAAATATTATGGATCTAAATTAAATTATATAAAAATATTTAGAAATTTAGAGTAATACTAAATTAGTCACATTAAGCTGATATGTTGAAAGATATTTTTTTTATTATCCGAATGCTGCCAACACCACAACTATAATGTATCTTGTTTCCCTGAAGCAACTGTTTCTTAAGCAAATCTTTTTTTTTTTTTTTAATCATTTATTTTGTTAATATTATCAAAATAGTGTTGGCCAAACATGGCCATGAGCAGTGCCTGTTGCGTCCAGTCAAATGACAAGATGATACTCCAGCTGTAACATGAGGAGAATCTGGAATGTTTAATCACTTACCAAGGAGATATTACTAGCCTTTCCATTATTTAGCCATAAAATATGAAATTTATAATTTGTTAAACTTCAGAAAATTACAAAGTGCACATAAAATATCTAACTTATCGGATCTTTCAACAATTTTTCAAGTTTTTCAAGAAACTTTTCAGAAAATTTCACTTCTATAAATTTGAGAAATCTCATTCAGAACATTAAACAGCAAATTAAAATGCTATTGAGAATTACACTGCTTTCAAAAATTAAGGAAAAAACACAAAAATAGCAACAACACATACAAAAATAATACAAAATTTGTATATGTTGTCAAATAAGAATTGCTGAGTAAAATTGCAGTATACAACTGCAGTATACAAACTGCAGTATTCCAATCTATATAAAATTTGAATATGTTGTTAAATGAGAATTGCTGAGTAAAACTGCAGTATACAAATCAGGGCCACTGCAATCACAATATGTCATCTGCGAGGAGCATAAAATTGCATGTTTCAGAGCAAGCCCGCAAATTTCGCCGTGATTACTGAGATAAGAAATCTGAGATAGCCAATCTGTAACAATGCCTCCAGCCATCATTTGCCCAAAGAAGTGTGATGGAGAAAAGTCAGACAGAAGTGGCTAAATATAAGTCCTTCTGCAGTTCGTAGACTTTGGCAACAATTTCTAACCACAGATTTGGCATCCAGAAGTTTCAACCACGCATGGCCAACCACTACGATGATGCTGATGATCAATATTTTTTTTTTTTTACGCGCATGAAGGAATAAAACATCAGATCCTTCCCTACTGCAGCCACTGGAAGAATGATGTCAACATCAACAATGCACAGATCTGCATGTTGCTCACATCGCGTCATATAAGGGAACGTTTGAGGTGGGCACATCAACTGGACAGCTGATCAACGGAGGGCTGTTCTTATTATGGACGAGTCTAGATTTTACCTCCAAAGTAATAATAGGCATTATTTGATTTGAAGAGAACTATTAACAGCCATCACATATCTGTGAAAGAGATGCATACAGAGAAGGCAATGTCTGTATTTGGAGTGGTATCTCTTTGGGTAGACACACAGGCCTCCATGTCTTTCCACGTGGTACCATGAATGCTCAGACCTACAGAGATGACATCCTTCATGCTTATGTGCACCCTTATGCCAGGGCAATAGGTGATAATTTCCTGTTACAGGATGACAACAACAGACCACACTCTTCAGCAGCAAACAATTCAGCAAATCCAGCTCAATCACTGGACCTGAATCCTATCAAGCGTGTTTGGAATGCTTTAGGAAAATGCATAGCTGCTCTCAATCCTCCTCTCGGGAGCCTTGCCATGCAAGCAACTGTTTTGCAAGAGCACTGGCTCTCAATTCCTACAGAACTTATAGACTGAATAACTGACAGCATTGCACATTGCTGTATGTGTTTTATTGCTTCTAGGGGAGATCATACTCCACATTGAAGGTGGATATATGTCCCATACCAAACTGACACATGTGATTTGTTCATTTTATACACATGCTAATTTCTATAACATATAATTGTCTGGTAATTTCTTTACATGTTATTTTATACATAATCGTCATTTTTGTATTTTTTCCTTAATTAATGATAACCAGTGTACATTACAATATATGTCATGCAATAAATCACAATATTAAGTTATTTTTCAAAACTGTAAACAGAGTTAAATTTTAACGGGAAGTTTAGTTTAAATTCCCCATAACAGTAGTTAAATCATCTACACAAATGCAGATATCTTGATTCATATTTACCACATCTACAGGGTGAGTCTGAATAAGTGGACAAAACTTTAGGGGGGTGATAGAAGGCAGTTATACAAACAATAATTGTCATAGAATGTATGGTAAGAACACAAACAGCAAGCTGCTAAGTGGCACTATAAATGGTATAAAACGGTCGATCCTCGCCAAGGAACCTAATGGCATTTCCTACCATGGATTGCCAAGAGGATGGCTGGTTATACACACTACGAAATTTCCAGGGCGATGGATTGGTGGAGGTGGTCCCAAAGCTTGGCCACGAAGATCACCAGATTTGTCATGTATGGACTTCTTCCTGTGGGGCCTTATGAAAAGCCTAATCTATGAGTGCCTCGTTGAAATTGATATGGATCTAGTTGCCAGGATCCCCATTCTTGCCAGAGATATAATGCTTGGTGTCTTAGCCAATATGCATCAATCCCTGTCCCGCAGGTGTGAAGCCTGCATTACAGCTGGTGGAAGGTCTTTTGAGCAATTTCTTTGAGCATGTACATTAGCTAAAATCCTTTTAACAAAATGTTTTCTGAAGTATCTCGTCTCATTATTGTATTAATTCTTTAACTGTGACCATGGAAAATTAACCTTTAACTTCTCACCGCTTGCATTCTGACTATAGATTCTATGATGATTGCTGCTCATATAGGTGCCTTCTATCATCTCTTTGTTCAGATTCACTCTGTATAAAATTACAGCACTCTCCAATATGGCAACCAGCTTCTATAGCATAAGAGGATTGCATTAATGCTATTTTCAATAATTTTCATGCTTTGTATGTACAAAACAGTCAGCACAGTAGAGAAATCACAACCCATCTAGACTTTTTCAAAATCTAAATTATTAGGTTGTCTATTTCAACATAGACTGTAGGGTTAAAAAGAAATATATAAATAATATATATATTAAGACTTAAAATAAATTCCTTCCTTGGAAAGCAAACTGACATAATGTTGCCACATTTGTTCAATCTATTTTTGAAAACATAGCACTTGGCTATAGTTAAATGGCATAAACAAATAAATAAAAAATAAATGCCATATATAAGAAACTAAATTCAGAATAAGCAAAGAAGAGCAAACCTAAATACAACATATTACTGCTTAGTTATAAATGCTACCTATAATATTTGCTAATAAATTTTGCTTTTAAAAAATATACACCTTTCTGTTATCTTTTAATATTATTCATACTATGAACAAAAATGTTAAAAACTTACAAATAAATTAACAGCAAACTTAATTCTACTTGGCCTAGAAAATTAGATTCCCCCCCCCTCTTGAAGTTAAAAAGTAATCAGTCAAGCTTTTATATTGATATATGATTTTTTAAATGCTCAGAGGATAAAAAGAAATTCAAATGTTAGACACCAAATTTACAGTATAAGAAAGATTTGGTATAGAAATAACCCTTTAAAATTGGATAATTTGAGTTCCTATGTATGCAAATATTTCCACAAAGTTGAAAGTCGCATATAATTCCTAAGGTCTTTGTAATCAATATGCGATTTTAAATGCCAAAATATTTCTATAGAAATTCAAGTATTTGACATCAAATTTAAACATTCTCACTTCTAAAAATTTATACTGCATTCCAGGAAATTTTTTACATACTTTCAGTGATTATTATTACCAATATAATCACATAATAATTACTCACCAAATTAAAAGCATCAAAAATTTGTACTTCTCCAATTGAGCTGCTTCCAGGATATGCGAGGTAGTTGTTTTCATTGCTTACTGACAGGACACAAAGCCCTGAAGGATTTGGTGGAGTATCTCGTATTGTGTGCAGCACCTTCATATCTCGAATGTTGTGAATGTAAAGACTCTCCTCCAAGCAAACCACTAACCTCTGCAGATAAAAAGGTATTAAAATTTAATACTCATGTATTATACATAAATTACATTATACATTACTATCATAACATTACAGATTAACATCAATAAATTAAATCAAATAACACAAACAATACTCAATCACATTTTTCAGTCACATCATTTTTAATTTGTATGAAGGCCAGTATGTGCCCAAAAGGTTAAACTAAAGTGCTAAACAGCGCTGCAGTGCTCAACTTCAACCTGGGAGCATGCGTGCTCATTTGAGTTACACGAGTATGAGCTGCGTTTTTTGAAGAAAAAACTATAAATCTTCAGAAAAAGTGTTACATTTATGCCAATAATAAATTGTATCATTAAACTTTAAAAATATTCACATTAATTTTTTTTTTTTATTTCTCCAAATGTTTTTAAGAAATAGAAAATCTTATACATAAGCATAGGGAGAAAAAATAGTATACCTTTACTGTGTACTGATTCTTTATTTTCTTTATTAGCATTATAGAGAAAAAATGCAACAACAAACGTTAGCAGCACAACTCAACAAAGTGTTGTCGAGTTACAAACACAAATATTTTTCACATTCAGCGTAGCGAGTTCTCGTTTTTCTGTACTTTTTCGCTCGACAAACGCTGCACCCCCCCTTTTCCGATAATTTTTTCTTTCCAATAAAGCAATTTATGTCATTCTCACTCTCATTTTCAGAATCTATATCAGTTTTTGAATCAGTATCATGTGAACTAATAATTCATGATCACTTCCATCCTGATTTTCTTCAATACATTCTTCGCCAGTTGATACATCTCATAACTTTTGCAACATTTCTTCCTTGTAAGATAAATTACATGACATGTTTTTTGCTATCTACACTAAAACAAATTAACAATGTGACAGTAATATGAATAGGCATGCTGGGTCTAAAAGACACAATCCAATGAAAATCAAGGCTCTGAATTAAAGCCCCAGCAAAAAACTTCGGAAACATAAAGAGGTCAAGCTCAGATATGACTACACTGGACCTGAACAACTTGCGTGACACAGGCGTGTTTTGAAAAAGATTTGTTTAATCGTGCGGGTACATAGAACCCAGTGCACACACTCGCAGGTTTAACAATTTATCCTTCCTTTACTCCAATATTTCTTTCTTACACCAGTTTTTTATTCCATCATGCCAAAGCATACACGACTTCAGCTGTGTAAGGGAAAGGAATTTCAAAGGGAAAATAAATTGCATCTAGATTTAACTTGTAATAACGTGTATGACCTAAATGAAAAAAGCCTCGTGCAGCCAGCATGTTCGACAGTCAGGAATACTAGCTAAATACCAAGCAAGTGTTTTTCAGTTTTAGCACTTTGGCAAATGATTAGCATTTAATTTTCCTTGAACTTAATAACATTCTTCTTTTCAGAAACCTTATAATATATCCTTAATTCTTCTTTATGCTATAACATAAATCTGAGTATATCGTAAAATTTTTGTGGATTGTAAGCAGCATTTGAAAAACTTTATTTTTATAATTAATTTATAAGGTATTTTTTCCCTCCTTTCTGTTTGCCTTCATGGTGTAATGATTAGCACACTCAGCACATATCCGAGAGGTCCAGGGTTCGAGTCCCGGTGACAGCATAGCTCATTTTTCATATCTCCTGTTCAAAATAACCTAATAACTCTACAGTGGCCCCAGAACTAAAAGGTTCTGAATGATGATTCTTCACCACCAGGATTTGACGATTGGGTCCCCTAATGAACACAAAGAGTATACTACCCATTTAAAACAGGTAGTAAGTATATAAGGTATTTTCTCCCTCCTTTCTGCATGCCTTCTTCATCATGTAATGGTTAGCACATTCGATGCATATCCAAGAGGTCCAGGATTCGAGTCCTGGATATCCGAATATCCGAGTCTCAATTTAAGATGCTGGCAAGAAATTGCATTTTGGGTTGAAAATAATAAAATATTAATACTAATAAAAAATTAAATTTTATGAATAAATGAAAATCAGGAGAAATATGTAGTAAAGTGGGTTGGCTGGAGTTGAAGTCTCGCACCTAAACCAAGAGTGTTTAAAAGTTTGCATTGAAAACTGAATGAAAAACAACTGAAGGAAGAGGTTTCTTAAAAGACTGTAGATAAATCTGCATAAGTATATGGATGATTAACTGTAGGTTTAAAACAGTTTTGGCACCGGGAAACTGAAAAACTCAATTTTCCAACAATCATGCTTGGAAATTTCTGTCATAATATTACTAGTTTTCTTTAAGATTTCTTATAATACTGCTGCTTTGTAGTAAAGCCTTAAATGTTGATCCAAGACTTCATTTTCCTGAATGATCTGGACATCGCATAAACCAGGGATGAGCAAACAATGGCACGCTGGCCAAGTCCGGCCCACAAGAATGTTTTATCCAGCCCGTGAACAGAATTTTAATTTGCCGGTCCAAGGCAAATTAAAAAAAAATATGTATTTATATATTATATACCATCTCTTTTTATACTTTGCTTAAATATTATTTTTTTCTTCCTTTTTCTCAAAGGGCTGATGATCTTTTTACTTTCTCTATTTTTGTACTAAACACATAAATTGACGGAAATAGCACAGGCAACTCTCAATTGGTTAAATTTCAGTTGGTTTCAATTCAAGTGTAAAAAGTGGAAGTTCTTTGTTAGTTATAGCTGTAGATTGGAGCCAACAAGTGTTATCTCTTTCTCGGGAAGCACATGCATGGGAATCCAATACAGGTGAATTAAACCTCTTAGAAAAAACTTTATCTTAACTTAAAACTTAATAAGAAAACTTAATCTGTTTGCTGGGCAGCTAGCTAAGAACGACTTGTCTCATTTCCCGAGGTTAAATTCAAAACCCTCATAATTCTTAAGCTTTTCTTAAGCTTAAGAATTATGAAGATGGCTTGAAAAAACTTCATTTTGAGTTCGAATGAAAATTTCAAGATTTCAGTGCCATTCAAACAGAATTGAATAATTTTACCATGCCTTTTTCAACGTAAATTGTGAAGCAGTGAGGTCAGATTTGCAGCTTGAATTAATTGAGCTGGTTTATTGCATTGGCAATCTAACAATGATCTCAAGCAGTTTTTTCTAAATATGCCAAAGTTAGAGTTTTATAAATCATTACCGAAAGTAAGTTTCCCAAAATTAATATCTCACGCCCAGAAAATCAGTGCTATGTTTGCTTCATCTTATATATGTCAACAAGTGTCTTCAACTATGAAACTTAGAAATAGTTATTTCAGAAATAGACTGACAGATGAGCATTTAGCCTTATTCCTTAGAATCACTACATCTCACTTCGAAACTCAATATAAGGAACTTTTAAAAATTAAATCACAATTTCATTCATCTCATTAACATTATTCAAATTGTAATATTTGTATACTGTTTTTAAAATTTTAGAAAAAATTATCTTGGCCCGCCAAACTTTTTGTTTTCGATTTTTGGCCCACGACCGAAAAAGTTTGCCCTTCCTTGGCATAAACCTTCGTTTATGAGTTATATCTTAGAAGGTTGTTATTTTCAAAGCAAATACTGTCAGTTTTACACACAATATGCCAAATCTGGTCGGTAATTTTTATCCTTTTTTAAAAAATGACTCTATAGAAACATTAAATTAACTAAAAAGTAAAACTTCAGAAAACAAATGTTCAGTGAAAATTACTTTAACAATCATTAGATCATATTTTACTAATGACAAAAAATCAGATATTGAAAATCTGCACCAGGCTGTTTTTAGATCTTTGTAAAAATTTAAAAATAAATTAACAGTTACTACCTCCCTCGCTCCTTGGAGTGAAAACACTCATTTATGAGAAAAAAATTGTGTCGATTTAAATTTCAACAAAATTCAACTTCAGATATATAATCTATTATCAAGAAAGATATAGTAATAGTTAACATTGGTTTATTGCATTGACTTTTTAGCATAATACACAATTAGGATGCACTCTATACCAAACAAAAAAAAAGTACAAATCTATTGAATTTTTTATTGTTGTAAAAATTAGGACATAATTCTTACAATAACAATATCAAAGTTATATTACAGCCAATTAAAAAAGTGCACTTACATTAAACAATTCTTATTACTGATAAATACAATAATTTTTTGAATACCATTGATACATAAAATTTTTAAATATCCTCTGCTTCCTTCAGAAAACATCACATCACTACTTACTTCTTCGTAATTAAGCATTTAAGTTTCAGATCAGACTGACACTATGGTAACTACAGAAAAAATTGTGGCTTCCTGTGACTGTTTCATTTTTATAGACTTTTTGAAAGTTTTTTATACTTGTAGCTCCTTTTACAAGTTTTTCTTCCCTTCAATCATGAACATGGCTAAAATATATTAATCTAACTTAACTGCAACTACAGATAAAATTTTGAGATCTATTGATATTTACTTTTACACATTAATAGAAATTTGAATAAGACACAGCAGGAGAAACAGTAATTATGACATTAATAATTCTTACATACATAATAATTTTAAAAAAAGGACATACCGCTCTATTGAGCTTCACCGCTAGAATTGTGTTGGAATAGCTGTAATTACAGATTTCAGATCCTTTCTTGAAATGGCACACTTTCAGTTTACGAGGAGCAGATATTGTGACCATGGCAACCAGACTAGATGAGAAAAGTCTTTCAATGATGCGGATGTCATCGGCAGCTACAAAGAATCATATTCTGATATTGATGATTTTAACAGAATGTATTTATATACAGAAATAATTAATATTAGTTACAATAAGCCACTTAAATAATAAATACGATTAAAATTAAAAACTAAAATTTTATGTTCATTCAACACAGACCAAATATAATTAAAAATGATGAATCAAAAGTTATGGCTTCAGTACACCCTATTAGTGAAAGTATCATCACGCCACTATTACTGAAATGAAAACTAGCCATTACTGCAGCAACAAAACAAAACAGTAGGTGTACAAAAAATGATGATTTTTTCAAAACTTGCTATATCCGATCTCATATAAAGATAATTTGAAATAGAGAAATAAGATATTTGTACACTATAGTACAATAACTTCCACTTAAATTGATTCTAAAGGCATACTGATTCTAATGATGAGTGACTTGCATTACATTACTCTTGATACGTAGGTTTATCCAAAAAAAAGTTTACAAGCAGAAGCAATCGAAACGTAATAATTGTGGAGCAAATATTTTCACCCAGGGTGGTTGACAGATGGCGCTAGTTGTCCTACAGCAGTTCTACGAGTAAGTAGCGTCAGTACGCGTCAGTACGCAGACACTTAAGAGTGACAATAATGGCACGACGTCTAGAAAAGTGGTCTCGCATAGAGGTGTGAGCCGCAATTCGATTCTTATGGGCCAAGAATGTGGCCGCATCCGAAATTCACAGACAAATCATTGAGGTATATGGGGACAAAGCAATGAGTAGGCAACAGGTAGCGAAATGGTGTCGTTCTTATCAAGTGGGCAGGGAGCATGTGGAAAACCTCAATATGGAAGTGAGCGGCCGTTTAAGTTCTTGAAGGATGGATAGCAACACGGCATGTGTTGAAGAAATCATCCAAAGGGATCAACGAGTAACCGTGCGTGAGACTGTCTCAGAGTTGGACCTGAGTTATGATAATGTTCAGTGTATCGTAACCGATGAGTTGCGATATTCCAAAGTTTGTGCCCGCTGGGTTCCACGTGCATTGTCCGCAGAGCATAAGGCCACTCGAATGATGTGCAGCCTCACATTTCTTCAGTGATACCATTCAGACGCCCAACACCTCATTGATCGCATCATTACCGGTGATGAAACATGGCTTCATCACTTCACCCCCACATCCAAAAGAGCCACAATGGAGTGGAAGCACGCTGGATCACCGACGAGGAAGAAGTTTAAGGTCACACCCTCTGCCGGTAAAGTGATGGCAACCGTTTTCTGGGATACAACTGGTGTTATCCTAATCGACTATTTGGAGTGTGGCCATTAACCATTAAGGCCGATCGTTATTGTGCCACCTTAACGAAATTGCATAAAGCCATCCAACGCAAATGGCCTGGATTACTGAGCAAAGGCGTCATTCTTCTGCATGATAATGCCAGGCCCCATACAGCTCGCCAGACTCAGGAATTGCTGCAAAGGTTCAAGTGGGAGGTCTGGAATCAACTCCCATACAGCCCCGATTTGGCTCCAAGTGACTATTTCATTTTTCCTGCGTTGAAGCGATACTTATCCGGAACACGGTTCACCTCAGATGATGCAGTGAAAACAGCTGCCGAGAAATGGCTCAATGAGCAGGGCCCTGATTACAAAGTTGGTGAACATTCTGACAAATGCCTAAACAGGTTTGGCGACTATGTGGAAAAGTGAAGGCCAGATGTGTCTCTTGATTCCCATCTGTATCTTGTTTCTATTGTTAATAAATACTTTTTCATTTGCCACGTAAACTTTTTTTTTGGATCACCCCTCGCACATATATATGCTACTGGAAATAGGATCAGTTTGAATACCTAGCAGACATCAGACCACACAACATATATATGTTGTAGGCTTATGATTTAATACAAATAATACCCTAAGCCTTCATTTTACCTAACTTTCCAAGACAATGTTTCTTAATCTGCAATCTATTACTAGCAGATTGAAGATTAGAAAAGAATAATGAGAAATTTTTTTATATACAATGGGATAACTACTGTACAACTAACTGTATAGTAGTTTCAACAAAGATAACACACACACATGACTGTTAATATGGGGGACCACTGCATTTTTGCTGCATATTTAAGAAATAAATTCCTTTCTAGGGAAAGAAATTTACATCACTATACTGTGTTTAATTTATTTTTAGAAAATAATCATTTCTTATATCAAAGCAGTTACTCAGAGGTTTACAATAATAAAAATCTGATGTGCACACCACAACTTCTTTGTACGGAATATTAAATTACATGCACATCAATGAATTTAATTTGAACTTATTTCCTTGAATGAGAAATATATTTCTCATTCAGTCCTCACTTTGCAACAAGGCAAAAATACATAAAACCTCAAAATATACAACAATTTTTACAATTAAAACTAGAGTTTCTATGCAAAAACAAGCAATTTGGCTAATAGGCAAAAAGACAGATTTTCCGCTTCACAAAACTAAAAGTTTCCTTTGGTTTCACTCGGCAAAAAGACACTGAAGATGCAGAAACTGAATTCACTATTATGCTAAGTTTCAAATATAAACAAATATAGCTGCTATGGAAAAAAAAATTAGACTTAGTAGCACTTAAACAATTTTTAAATTGTTGATAATTCTACAACTGTTGCATGCAGATTAACTAAAGGCATAAAAACCTTAACTGGTAATAAGAACAACATAATCCAATCATTTTTAAAGCAAAAAAATGCACAATTTACCAAAATATAAGGAAAAAACTGAGCTTACAGAGGCGAGTAACAGAGAGGGTACATATATATGTATATATTTACATACTTTTGGTGTGGCCGATTGCAACAAAAAACAGAGGTGCACAATTACATGTTATAGCAGTCCTATATACAAAATTTCAACGTTCTGAGGCTACTCATTTTACAGTTATGCCAGATATGCGCATACATACGTACATATATACAGACGTCATGAAAAAATCTCTTCTGAAATCTCTTTTTGTAACCCGTTTTGGGGAAAAGAATCCTTCATTCTGTCCTTAGATACAGATGTCATGCAAAAATATCATTAAATTGCATTCAATAGTGGTCAAAATGGATATGTTCGTTGAAATGCAGTACCCAAAAATTTACACGATTTAATAATATTCTTTTTTACAATATGTAACTGCATTTACTTTGTTTTTAATACATGTTTTTGCCATATATTACAGGACAATTTACATGTTTTTTTCCCTTTTATCTAAATTAATTTAACAGCCTCTTCAAAATAAAATTGCGTACTGAGCTATATTATCTTTTTCTAACACTTTAACCCGCCTAAAAAGTTTTAAAATCTACAACTATCTTAGTTTAAAAGTAATTTAGTACATCAATGATAATAATTAGAACATTTATTCACATTCATTTTTTTAAATGTGTAAATTCTTTTTTCCTTATAGATATATAATCCTGCATTAATTCAATTTCAAATCATGAAATTAAGAAAGGCAGGAAAGGAATAAGTAAATATAGTACATCTTTTTTCTTTTTTTAAATAGATTTATAAAATGAGAGATGTTCTAAATCAGTTTTTCTCAAACTGTGGCTCTAGAAACCTGCCCTTGTGGTCCTCCCAAGTTTCCAAACATATCCTGGTATTAGTAAACAAAATTAACAAGATTTTATATCATTTCTTTGTACTGACATGTAGGAAAGTACACTGGCATATATTTCTCATGAACTTGATGAACTCAAAACTCAGTATATTCTCAAAATTAAATGAACTAAATCTCTGTCAACTAGGTAATTCTTTGACTCTCTTCAATATGCATGAGAAATTAAAGCAGTGTGAGATACAGCTTGGGTTGAGTAAAACAGATAATTTTTCACCATTTTCAACTTTAGAATATTTTTTTATCAGAAAATTACATCATTATTGGAAACTGAATGACATTTGTTCGCATTTCAAAACTTTTGTAATCTGAAACTAATTTTTCGGGTGATAAATATGATGAATTTTCTTGGGTTCCTGATCTTTTGCATTATAATTTTGAAAATAACAAACTGTCTTTAATGAAAGAGAACAGTTAATTTAAACTCTCTAATGATACCAGACTTAAAATGAAATTTCAAGAAGGTATGGTTAATTTCTGGACCACATTATTAGTGAAAACAGTGAACAATACAGTGAAAACTTACAATGGTGCTTTAAATAATTCATTTTGCTTCCATGTATTTATAATTTATAAAAGTGGTCTCCACTACAAGAGAGTTTGAGAAACACCAGTCTAAATAAAAACATAGGTTTTCATGCAGAAACCTACACATAAAAATATCTGAGAAGTGAATAGGGAAGGATTAAATAAAAATAATGATAATTATATCCTCACTGTTTTCATGGATTATTTCCAGTTCATCCACTTTATTGAAAGAGTAAAGCTTAAATCCTTTTTTAGAACCAATGGCTAGAGACCTGCAATAAAAAATGCTAACATTATATCAAAATCCATATTTTAAACAATAAATAGAGAAACAATGAAATTATAAATAGTTTAATTTTAAAAAAAGAAAGAAACAAAAAAGAAAAGTGGTCATGCTGCAATTTTAAAAATGGAATCAAGCTCCATCTAATATTCTTTCTTTCATAAAATTTACTCATAGTAACCAATGCTAATTACTTGTCTTTCTGCTGGCCTCAAATATCTCAATTCAAGAGTAAAACCTTAGTAATATTACATGGTTACGGTTTTAATACTTGATTGTAGTAAATTTTCATCACCAGCTACAACGGTGGTGCCATGCTAAGCTGCCTAGGTAAGAATCAGAAGCATTACCTTTTCTGTTGGCAAGTACAGAAACACAGACTTTTGTGTTTATGAATACGTCCATATCATGACCTTTTTGTCACTGAGCAAAACTTTTACACTATCTTGCCCATAACCCAGCAAGATATCTGAAAGTACCTCTGTAGCATGAGTGAGCTTGTTGCCTTGAAAAGCCCCGAGTCTGAATGATTTGGAAAGCATATGCGGATGAATGAATATAACATACAAGGTGTCTTGGTGCTCTAAAATGTATCAAGAAGCATAGCTTCCTTGCAGTAGTTCATGTACATTAACAGTAATTTGTAATAATCCACTCTGTATAATTTCATGACAGATAATGGTGGTCGCACTTTCTGTCGATAAAAGTGGGAGAGCACAACAGTTTACATCAGGAATTACACTATGGAAACATCAATTATCTGAATGATTAGTAATCCAAACTTGTTGAACAGATGTTGGCAAAGATTCCAGGCAATTTTGAAATACAGAAGTAAAAAGCAAGCTTTTTCTTGGCAGATGTCAGCAAAAATTAGCACCCAGTTTTGAAATGCAGATGTTAAAAGAAAAATTTTTGATATCTACCAATTATTTTCACCTAGCACTTAATGATTCAGTTCCCAATTATCTGCAACTTGATCCATGATCCTGTATTAAACTATCTTGAAGTTCTTCTCTTATTATTATGATTTATTATTTTTATTCTCAGTATTTTAAAGTTTGGCTTGGATGGGGAAAAAAATATTTTATGAATTAATTATTGCTAATTATAACATCTGTACACAAAGATCTTTTAGGTAATTTTACGGTGATTTTACAAGGTATTCCCCTCATCAGGTTTTTGAAATATGTGAAATCGCTCAATTTTTTAATCTTTTTTATAACAAAATTAAGAAAATTTGAACAAATTTATTCGAATTTCAGGTACTTGCATATTAGCATAAACAGCTTAGTTCACGAAAAAAGTCACGAAATTTTCAGAATACACATTCACCACGACATTTGGATTTATTTTTTTTTTAATTCCAAGTTTTAACATTTTTTATAGACATATCGTGACTTTTTTTTTTCTAAATTCCCTTTTAAAAGTTGCACTTGTGGGATTTACCTGCAAGAAGCTGCAGTAAAACTGCTACAGAAGTATAGTATCTATGTAGAAACACAGTACATTGTTAAAGGCAAAACTACTTTGAACCTATCTTAAAGTGATTCTTATGAACTTGTTACCAAAGAAAGAAACAAAATACTGCTTGAAAATAGGTTATTGACTGATTTTCTGGACAAAAAAACAAATCAAGATGTAATTATTGTGTAATAGTAATATCTATATAAATAATTTTTTACAATTTAGAAGTCTGTAATTGTAAAATGTATACCCTATTTATTATTAAAAAAAAAGATAAAAGAAATATTTTAATTTACAATGATCTTAAATTCAAAGATCCTGTCTTGTGAAAATTTTCATTTTTATTTAGAAGGTAATTAAACATGGCTAACAATAGTTGATCTTTAGAAAAACACGTGATACATGAGAAATAAGAAATACACTTAATTTCTTTTAAGTAAACTTGTTGTTAGAAAGGAAATGTTTTTAATTTATTAAAAATAAAAATGCTGTTTCCTAGTTTCTTTTATAAAGTCATAATCCCCAGTATACCTCAAACCTAGTTAACAGGTATCAATTGTGCACAGAAAGATGAAACAGCATGTTAGCTTTTATTTATAACGAAATCAATCTGTAAGAAATTATAATGTTCTTTATAATGAAAAAATACAGAAAATGTAAGTATTACTAATTTTGGGTAACAATTTTCTCCCTGCTCATTTTGATGAATTAACACAAAAAAATATTGAAAATAAATAAATAATGATATCAGAAATAAATGGTTTTCTTGAAATAGTTTTTTTTTTTTTTTTTTTTTTTTTTTGTAAAAATAAATTATTCAAACAGACTTATTATGAAAGTATATTTTAATTTTACTCATTTATGAGAACTGACGTTGTATTATGTTCTAGAAAAATAACCAAAGATAATTTAAGAAAAACTAGTAGTTTCAATGAGAAGTGATAAAACTTTTAATATAAATAATCATACATGACAAACAGAAATTGATATAAATAAATGCGAGGAAAGCCAGGGATTAAGTCTACAAAATGCTTGAAATATTGAAAATAGATTGTTTACATTCTGCAAAACTTCATGAAAATGCAGATGATGTAATAGTTAGTGTGTTACAAAATTATCACATCTTGAAAATTATATGCAGAGAGCATTATCAAGCCAAGAGCACCAAGAGTATTATCAAAGTTTCATAGGTTCAATCCTTCTCTTTTCATAAATTAATTTCTTCAGATTTCACAAACACTCATTTAAAAATCATAGAACTTTTCCAATCCAAGATACAGCCCCACATGTGAACAGAAAACTTGTCTGGATTAATTCTATGTACCTGACAGTCACAGGGTCTTACTTAAGTCTCGATTTTTCCAAGGACTGGATTTTAAATAATTATATAAGAATAAATTTTCATACAGTACTTAAAATTGTATGCATTTTTCCTTTATTTTTATTATTATATGTTTTAAAATATAAAATTAAGAACAGACCCAATCAAAAGGAATGATTTCTTTCATGGCTGAAAGAAAATTAATTTCGTAATTCTACATTTATATACTAGACATAAATTGAAAATTTTAATGCTGTTTTTAATATATTTTTTTAAAGACACAGCATAAGATAAAAATAAAAGTATAAACTTAAACAATACTTTCAACCTAAAGACTCTGGCAGAAGGAATTCACGGTATTACAATTTCTTCTTTGCATGAATTTACTGTATTATAATTCATAGTGTAGAGACATTAGGTTATTTCAAAGCAGGAGAGATGAAAAATGAGCAATGCCTTCACCAGGACTCGAACCACTGACCTCTCGAATATGCGTCAAGCATGCTGACCACTACACCATGAAGGCATGCTAAGAAGGCAGGAGAAATACCTTATATACTCCTCCTTTTAAAGGGCAACTGGGAATTAGGGGACCCAATCACCAAATCCTGGTAGTAGAGGATCATTATCCACCACCTTTTTTAGTTCGGGCGGCACTATAGAGACATTAGGTAATTTCGAAGCAGGAGAGATGAAAAATGAGCAATGCCCTTGCCAGGACTCAAAACCGGGCCTCTTGAATATGCGTCGAGCGTGCTGACCACTATACCACAAAGGCATGCTAAGAAAGCGGGGAAAAATACCTTATAATAGATTCATAATTTCCATAATGGTTTTTACAAATTTTAAATTATCGATACTTTAAATAAAACATTTTAGCAGATGAATTTACATGTGTACTACTTTTTTATGCAGATCATCTTATTTCTAAACATATATATTCCATGAGAAAATAATTAACACTCCCCTCCACCACCTCTTAGCATTTTTAGCCTTATGGTTTGGCTTTCAATTTCCCTGAATTCACAGAATGACTAAAGTGACCAGTTCTAGGATAGTGATCTTTCACATACATTTCAAGGCCACTTTTTCACCCCTTCAAGGTCATCCATCCTCTCCTTGTATGAAAAAGGGAGATGAAGTGGACATCTCTTTGCCTACTCCCCCCCCCATATGTGTTTATGCAGCTTTTCAAAGTGATTTTCTCCCAAAGGATTTTGTTTGAGCGACTAGTTTCAGTTAAAAGATTTCACATTTAGACTAAATATTGAGAGAATACTGCAAAAGATATGGCAGACTGTTTTGTGAAATAAATGTTTGTGGAAAAACTTATTAATGAGTTATGTTACATATACAAGAACAAAAAGTTAAAAGTATCATATGAATTTTAAACATCTTTGCTCCCTACATTTCCATTACAAATTTTCTAACTTCTTAAAGAAAACAAATTTTAATAAGTGTACTTATAAATAATTCTATTTTAAATAAAAGAATTATATTTTAAATAAATGTATCCTTTCCTCAAACTCATTCTAATATACGGAAGAATTAAAATTTAAAAAAAAATCTTTTTTGAAAAAATAACAGGAAAGATTTGTAAATATTAATTTTACTGTAACTGGAAGATTCAAATTGCATTTTTCATGTCTTGAAAATGCGACTTAAGATATATATATTAGTTTTATATATAGCACTAAGATATATATATTAGTTTTATATATAACATGGCATTCTGACACAAAATCAGACCTTTTTCTGAAATGACATATTAATTTTTTTTCCATATCTCAATCCTACATGTTATACCAAAATGCCCAGTTTCATAAAAGCCCAGATACTTTTTAAAAAATTAGGTCTCAGAATTTTAGCTCCCTCCTAATGCTAATTAAATTTGGTATATATTTATTAATATCTCTTTTTTTTTTTGCTAAACTTGTTCGATTCAGTCTTTAAGAATTCAAAATTTAGGTTGAATCCAACTAAAATTCACACATTTTTTATTTGCTTTTAAAATTTGCATTCTTAAATAATTTTTATATATTTTTTGAAAAAATTTTGTATCATACCCTATAAAATTTTGGCAACTGTCTTAAAGAAGATATATTTTTAGGAATGTTTGCAAAAATGTAGGAGTTTTTTGTTCAAAATTTCTCAAAATATATATAAATTCATACACTGTGAGCATTTTGAAATCTGGCATACTTTTTATAAGTTATATAAGTTTTTATAAGTTATAATAATGTCAAATGTCCTTTACACACTTTGTTACAATCTTCAATCAACTGCAACTTTGAAGCTTAAATTTCCAAATAAACTTTTAGGGAGAATCATTCTTGTGGAATTTCTTAATTTAAATTTGATTTACAATGCCTAATAAATATTTGTTAATAATATATGAAAAGGCTGTTTTTAAAATTTATGCAAAGAATATTAATTCAAAAGTTGAAAGACTTTTTTTTTTTTTTTGTTGTTGTTGTTGTTGCTTTCATAAGTGTAAATTTTTACCTTTGCTATTTTATCACCGGCTACTTAACTTCATTTTACGCACAATGAAATTTATTTTGCCGATTTCAAAATTATGCATAATATATGTATTCAATACTTCTACATACATCAAATAATATGTAAAAGTGTATAATTAAAACATGCTGTCTTCTGCTACAGAAATGTTTAACAGCAGTAAAATTTACTAGCATATAAAATTTGTTTTTCTTCTTTTGTATGCATAGTAAAGGCAACAAATAAAAATTATTTAAAAAAAAAAATTTTTTTTTGGCCCTTTTGTGATCTGCATAATAAATTCCTTAAACAAATTACTGTCTGTTTTAAAAGACCTCTAATTATCATAATAGATATTTTTTTTTAAAGCAAAATATATTTTTATGTAAACATTTAAAATAAACACGTTTAATAGTCAAATTGTGATTTGCCCCAAGACCTGAATTTTAATCATTATGCTAGTAGTCATTATACAGTCATTATACACCGAGTTTCTGATCATTACACAGTGAATTTCTGACACATAAATTAGGTTGGTTGGTTATTAAATACAGCAAAGCATATCAAGACTATATGCGTAATGGAATTAATGCCTTCATGGAGGATTTTTCTAAGGAAAAGCTGCTCATATTCATGATACACATGGGGTAGATCCCGAAAACCATATAGCTCATTCACATAGGCTGGTTTCTGGTACAAAATACAGGAGTCTTTAACTGCTCAGCCACTAGTGGAAACACTTATAACAGCCAGGTTATTAGATTTGTAAAGTACCTTATGTTAATTAGCCAATTATTGTAATTTAAGTATTTACTATAACTTCTTCCCACGTTCCTCAACAGAATGCAATAAGGTAGGGGTTTTGAATCTTTTCTTGAGAGAGCTTCTGACAATCATGTTGTACTGTTAGTATTTTTAGCTAGATCTGTTTAAAAATTATGCTCCAGATTTAGCATCCTTAGTAGCCTATGGTTTACATACATGCTGGTAAAATATACAAGCTAGAGTATTCTATTTAATGGGGGCCCACCAGCGACCGAGCGGTAAAGTCGCTGAACACTGGTAGTTCAGTCCGAGGTTCGAATCCCGCGAACAGGCTGGCTGCATGGGCGTTTTCGTGGTTTTCCCCATGTGTAACGTGTATACGAGCCAGTTCCCCTTAGGAAGTCCTCCACAAAGGCATCCCTCCCCTTAGGCAGATAGCCCTAGTTGTGCTTTGCCATAATTAAATACACACACACACCTATTTAATGGGTCATCTTATGTCTGGTCTGTTGATTTAAAATATCCACATGTTATGGAAATTTCATCAGTACCACAAATTGTGCCTTTATGTTCAAAACTGAGAGTAAAATAATAAAGGTTATCCAAACTTCTCTATCTTGCAAGTTGTTCAAGACACAACTATATTCCACTATCTGTCTAGAACGGTCTGCTGGATTTTAACTCTAGTTTCCAGTTATAATAAAGATTCTAATTTATATTTAATATGCCAATATTTTAAGTATTATTATATTCTCAGGCACAAACAACACAGTTTTGTTAATGCATTAATTTTAAATTACTACGCTGTAGTGAAAATCAACATCCTGTTACATTTGCTATTATATTCACTTGATGTTCTTGGAAACTAAGCTAAAGATAGGAGATAGATTGAAAGTAGTATTATATGTTATAAAAATAAGCTGGCTCCCACACTTTACTGGCACATATTTAAAGCATCAGATAGCAAGAATGCTAAAGTTAGAATACAATTTTTAAACAGAGCTTGTTAAAAATATTAAAAGCAAGATGTGGTTATCAGAAGTTCTCTCAAACCCTCAGTTTAAATATATACGAAACCCTCAGTTTAAATATATACGAAACCACAAGGAACACAAGGAGTGCCACAGGAAACAAACTATTTCAAAAGTGAATATTACCATATAGCAAATACAAAAAGGGACAATGACTGCAGATATATTTGTAGACAGTTTCAAAATCATTAAGGAATTAAGGTTTTCTTGACACAATAAGTGACATTAAAAACAAAAAAATATCAGGTTTCAAGGAAAGTTTTATGCCACCACAAGTATCGCCTACGTAAATGTTTCACATTGACATGTTTAACCATATTTTGTCCAACGGTTTTTGACATTTACAAGGAAGAGACTTGCTTTAGAATACTGTGTTGTGAAATCTGTAAAAAAATATCCTTACCATTAAGTACGAGATGTCTGAAATGGAACTATCAGGCTACCAGATTAGAATCATCATTTACTTCCAGTTCTGTTGCAAAAAGTCAGCTACACAATGTCACCAAATCATGTGTACAGCTTTAGGTACAAATGTATGATTACATTAAATGACATATATAAGCAAGCTTCAGTTGATTTAATACATAACAGCAAGGTAAGTTTACACAGTGTTGGAAGCCGGGGCTTACATGGTACATCATTTCTATGGCACAGCATGATACTACCTAAATTCCAGCCATTAAAAAGGAATAAGATCATAAATAGTTCACATAATTAAAAGATTTACTTTCATCAGTTTTGTTGCAATTCAACAATGCATAATTAATATACTGAAAGTACATATAATTGCATTAGAACAATATTGTTATGTGTTTATTTCTACATTGACATTGTAATTAAACAACTAGATGCTTTTCATTACACAGCTGCAAGAAATTGCTGAGAACTTATGTTTTAACAATCATTTTTAATTGTTTAAATTATTATCAACACAAAATTTAATTTTATGCTTATGCACCCCTTCTGATCAAAAATTTCAAACGTACAAAAACGTAAAAGAAAAAATAATATCCTAATTCTTGGAGAAGAGTAATTTTAAAAGCAACCAAATTATCTCTTAGAAAATCTTTTATAGCCCACTGCCTTTGTCTGCAAAACTACTTTTCTTTCTATATCTCGAAACAACTAAACCCACATATACGAGAAGAATGACATAAGCGGTAATGAAAATCTACCGTTAACTTCCTCTATCACTTGTCAGATCCTGTATATCCAGCCATTTCAAGGTTGGAACACACCCAAATACACAGTTTGTAATCAGTTACAAGAAAAGTATCCTTGGCTTAGTTGAAGAATAAAAAATTTCATCGCTCCAGACACCTTGACTCCGTAGATCCCCTTATTAAGTATAGCAACATTACCCCTCTATCACTTAAGGACGCAACATTAGGAGTGATTCACAGAAAGAAATACACAAACAGTAGAATTTTTAACAACAACAAATATCAGAAAATGGCACAAATAAAAAACGCATGCGGAAATTCTACCCTAGATGTACTACAAAGAAACCTTTACATGCATGTCAAATGGCAAAACACAGTGACGAAATGATGTTTTGTAAATAACCCTACCATAGTTGTTTTGATAGCTAACTTACGTGCAATCTTGGTTGAAATTGGCGAATAAAACATCAGCAGAAATTTCATCTGTTGGCTCTAGAAGATTCATTTTGAATTTTTACACAACAAAGAAACTTCAGAATACTGCAGATGGTAATAAGGAATAAATTTGAATAGTATAAAGGAACATCAAATCCAGCGTCTCTTAACTTCGCAGTCCTGCCATTACATCAGCTGTCTTTCTTGTCTTGTTTGGTTCTGTGTTGTACCAAGACACGCATGCCCAGCTATCACTAGCGAAGAAGGGAGCCCATAAGTTTCTTTTTATCGCCCAAGAGATGTATTTCAATTTCGCGCAATAAAACTTTTGTCGCCAAATTGCTGAATCAAGATTTCAAACGCGAACGTGCATGAAAAGTTGCGCATAGCAGTAAATAACTTGTTACATAATTTTTATTTCTTTTTGACAATTTAAAAACAACAAAACTCTAATTCTGCGAATTACATGTATGAGAAATTCCAGTTTTCCGTATCATTTAGATTTTCTGGTTCGAGTTCATTAGTTTAAAATTTTTATTATAACATATAATGCACTAATTCACATATTTAAGATTAAGAGGCAAAAAAATCAACCTCAGGTTCGCATAGATTTTGAATAAAGTTCTATCGATTTATTGAAAATCTACTTTAGCTTAAGTTAGCTTTTATGCGCCATGTTTCTTTATTTAATTTACATAGTTTAAAGAAGATATTAAATTGATTTTGATTGATGAATATGGCATGCAACTTGACCTGCAATATTTGGCAAGCTTGCAAATTAAAAGACCTCCACGGGGCATCCCTCCCTTTCCGTGTATCCGTGTAGTGCCTAAGGGCGGAGCAACGTAATCAGTAAAAAAAAAAAAAAAAAAAAAAGCTTGCAAATTATATAAATGTTAGTTGAAAAGAACTTTAATTAATAATTAGAAAGTTTTTTAATTGTCTAAATTAAAGTATAGATTATATTAAAAAAATAAAAAAAATTCTGTTCAGTTTTTAGTGTCTACAAAAATTACTTTATTATTTCATTTTAGTTAAAACAGAATTACATTATGTATTTAGGCAACGAGTTTCTCACTTTGTTTTACGAAAAGAAATGTTTTTATTAGCAATTTTTGTTATTTATCTTTGTAAAATAAAGTACAATAAAGAAAAAAAATATGAGTTCTTCACTTGCATTACAAGAAACAGGACTCGAGAATAAAGACACTTGACAATAAAGACTTGACAATAAAGAGAGAAAACTTGAGAATAGAGACAACCCAGCCAGTTACACAGATATTTTCGAATATCCGAATAATCTGGTTAGCAGCTAGCAAGACTCTTTTCCTCCAAAAAAAAATTATAAAACTGCTTTAAAATGAATTCTAAAGAGAATTTTCGTAGTGTGTGTACGTACGTATGTACGTATGTATCTCGCATAACTCAAAAAACGAGTAGCTCAGAACGTTAAATTTTGTATATAGGACTGCTACAGCTAGATATGTGCAACTCGTATTTCTTTGGTACCAAAGGTATATATCGGTAAATATATTTTATATATATCCACTCTGTAACCCGGCTCAGTTATCTCAGTTTCTTTACTCTTTTGCTCTAAAAATGATTGAATTATGTTGTTTTTATCTTCAGGTTAAGGTTTTTATGCCTTTACTAAATCTGCATGCAATATTTTTAGAATTATTAATAATTTTAAAGTTGTTTAAGTGCTGCTAAGCCTAATAATTTTTTTCATGGCGGCCATTGCTTATTTACATTTGAAACAGCAGAGTAGTGGATTTGTTGCCAATCTAGAGAAACGTAGCTTCGCAACAACAAAAATAACGCCTTCATTTATTATTACGAATTAAATCATGCTTAATCGCTTCTGGAATTTTTTTGAGGAAATAAGTGTTTAAGATTTACTTCGTAATTTTTAATACAGATATTTTGAGTTTTTATGTATTTTTTCCTTGTCGCGAGGTGAGAACTGAATTAATTGAATCAGAAATACCCAATCATCTGTAAAAAATTGTTTCTTTTTTGTTTGTTTTCTTAATTCCTTTTATACATCGTTCTAGCTTTATTATAGTATTTGAATAGAACATGTGGCAACGATTAGATAATTCTTTAAATGATATAAATTTTGTGCATTGTGAGTTATAATATGAACGAAATATAATACTGTTCAATGAACCTAGCGCAAGAGTGTCGCTATGGTAAACAAATAGAGTGATTTTTAAAGAATGCATTTATTCTATTGTGGTTTATGCGCTGTCGGCGAAGTAGATTTAATTCAATCCATTAAGTTTAAACGAAATGCAAGAAAATATGCGTATAATTTAATATTCCGTACAAGGAAGTCATGTGGTGTACACATCAGATTTTTTTTATTTTAGTACACAAACGTTGAATAAATAAAGAAACATTTCTTACTGTCTTTGGTTATTGGGGAAAATGGCTTTAAAAAAATTACTGTCTCTCTCTCTCTCCTTTTTTTTTTTTTTTTTTACTTCAGCCTATTTTTCTGTTTAACAACTTTTTAAAATCACTTCATCATTCAAATAACTTAGCTCACGAATGTAAAAGTTAGTGCAAGGGCAAAATGGCTTTAGAAAACTTACTGTCTTTCTCTCTCTCTCTCTTCCTTTTTTTTTTTTTTTTTTTTTTTTTTTTTTTTTTTTTTTGAAAGCTTCATTTTGCATCGAATCACTTTCCAAATTTGTGGCCCTAAATATTATCGTACTGTATTATATTTAAAGAAATCAAATAATGAAGAATCCGCATGAATGTATATATGTTTCTCGCATTGCGAAAACAACAACTATACTTAGAGCCAACAAATTCCGAATAACGTAGTCCTCCACCCGAATATGGACACTTGGAATCCCGAATCTTGAATTTCGAATTTGTTTTATTATCTATTTCATATTCTTTAAACTTTAAACAAATTTTTAATTAAGAAACTTAAAAATTTCAAAGTGAGCAGTGGCATTACACTGTACGGAATAAAATATTTTTATCTCCAGCAAGCTAGACTGTCTAATATAAAATTTAAAAGCTTTCTGATTTATTTTTTTTAAATATTTATTTAATTTAATATAGTTTTTAGCAGCCCGAAGGGATGATTGGCCCAGAAGGGCCATTAATTTTATTTTGGCACTTCGCGCCGTCCGTTATAAAACGGTGTTCGCTAGTCAAACCGTAGCCACTAATTATTAGGGTCCTGCGGTATATTTAAAAATATTACATAATAAAGAATCTGCATGAATGTATGCATGTTTCTCGCATTGTGGAAGAACAACGGTACCTAGAGACATCAAATTTTGAATAACTTAGTCCTCCACTTGAATATGGGCATCTATTTCACATTTGGTAAAGCTTGTAGAGACATTAGGCTATTCCGAGACAGGAGACATGAAAAAAGAGCAATGCATTCGCCGGGACTCGAACCTCGGACCTCTCGAATAAGCCCTGAATGTGCTGACCATTACACCACGATGGATAAGAAAGCAAGAGAAATGCATTATATACTCCCATTTTTAAAGAGCGACTGGGGATTAGGGGACCCAATTGCCAAATCCTGGTAGGGGAGAATAATCATCCACCACCTTTTTCAGTTCGGGGGCCACTGTTAGAACATTAGGTTATTTCAGAACAGAAGACAAGAAAAATGAGCACTGCCTTCGCCGTTACACGAATACGCTCCGAGTGTGCTGGCCATTGCACCACGAAGGCAGGAGAAATACCTTATAAACTTTAACCAATTTTTGATTGAAAACCTCAACGATTTCAAAGCGAGCAATGGCAACACTATACGAAAGGAAAAAATTATCTCCATCACGTGACACTATGTATCGGAAATTCTAAAGATATGCTCATTTTAAAATTATTTTGCGATATTGCTGTTGAATTGAATTTTATGGTTTAAGTGCAAAGAACATGATATTTAATAAATAAAGGTAACACACAAAACGTTAAAAAAAAGGCCCTTGTGGTGTTCCTTTGGAATATTAAACCTGAAAGCTTTCAAATTTTTAATTTTTAGCCCAAAGGAGCAATTAGCCCAGAACGGTTATTAATTTCGATTCGGCATCTGGCGTTGGTTCACTATAAAAGTCCGAATCACTTTTGAAATTGTCACCACCAAATAGTAGAGTCCTGCATTATACTTAAAGAAATTAAAATAATGAAGAACCTGCATTAATGAATGTATGCATATGTTTTTCGCGTTATGGAAAAACAATGGTACCTGGAGACATCAAATTTTGAACAACGTAGGCCTCCACTTGAATGTGGGTTTCTGGAAGCACAAATTTAGAATTTGGTTTTTTATCTATTTCATATTTTGTAAAACTTTAACGAATTTTTGATTAACACACTCAACGATTTCAAAGACGTTCCATTTACATCGTACGGATATTACATGGTATGGATAAAGTACGGATATTTTATGCGCTAGGTTTCTTTACATTTCTTACTGGTATTATGTTGGCAGCGTAGCAACGCAAAGACATTACAATGTCTAACGGTACTGAATTTGAATTCCTGTATTATTTTTCAAATTCCATTTTGGATCCCCTGTGAAAAAAAACGCCTCTGTGGCCGTAATATAAAATCTGAAAGCTTTAAGATTTTTTTCTCTGTTTTATTTTATTTTTTATGTTATTATTATTTTAAGGGGATATTAGTCTCGCAATAGGATTTTGCACTGGTTCACTATAAGCGGGGCATCACTTTTCATATTGTTGCCACCAAATGTTATCGCCCTGCATTATTTTTAAAGAAATAAAATAATGAAGAACCTGCATGTGTTTATGTATTGTAAAAACACGACGGTACCTAAAGCCATGAAATTTTGAATAGCATAGTCCTCCACCCGAATATGTGCAGCTGGAAGTTCGAATTTTAAATTTTGAATTTGTTTTATTATTTATTTCATATTGTAACGGATTTTGTATTTATTTAACTATTTTCAGTAGAATTGTACTTAAAATTGTTTTATTTCCCCCTGCAATGCAGCGTGTGACGAGTCTTAAGAGAAAGCTACGCCGAAAAAGTAAGAATACAGGAGCACGCGCGTTTAATAACTAGATATCTTGCAATTTATATTTAAATTGAATAACGGTAATTGTGTGTTAGTTGTAACTGTTATTCTACTCTTTTGCTTTCCAGAAACCTCCAGAAAATACCAGAAGCTTCTTGTGACTGATTAAAAAGC